TGACGTCGGACTATGTGTGGTGTCGCGTGCCCGCTGCCCCATAGGCCCGCTTGAACTTCCGGATTTAGGGTTTAGGCTTAGGTTTGGGTTTAGGGTTTAGGGTTTAAGGTTTAGGGTTTAAGGTTTAGGGTTTAGGGTGTAGGGTTTAGGGTTTAGGGCTCTGAAATCACGGCGTCATCAGGGCCCAAAGCAGCAGGCTTCACGAGGAGTGCCTAAGTCGGCACCCCATGCACAGCCGAATTCGCAAAAGCCGATCCGGAGGGAGGGAGAAGCCTAAGTCTCTGGGTTAGGGTTTAGGCTTTAGGGTCAGTCCCCAAATTCGCCCCGAAAACTGAGTATACTTAGAAACGTAGACATAGGGGTCTACATAGTCATTAGGTGCAGCTCAACCGATCGACTTCTCGTACATCAACGCAACCCTTCCGACAGCTGCCGATGCCGGTTGCATTTGTGGCTACTTGGGCCTCCAATCATGTTTACAAAGGATAACAATAATAATTATGATGGTAAGAATGATATTAATGATAATAACGAAACCAAAATAATCATAATGATGATGATGATAAGCGAATGACAACACCACCATCGGACCTAGCGGTAGGTCTTGCTTAGCTCGTAAACGTTACGCGGTCCCGAAGAAACATGAAAGCTAGCCCTAAACCCTAAACCCTAAACCCTAAACCCTACACCCTAGACCCTAAACCCCAAACCCCAAACCCCAAACCCTAGCCTCTGGTCAAGAGTGTGCCCTCCTAGACCCAAGAATAACCTAGGAATAAAAAGGGTGCCCTTTTTGAGTTTAAGCGGGGCGTAGAAGGGAACCCAAGCCCTGAAAAAAGCAGGGAAGAAGGGCCTGCTCTGGGTCCTAATCCTGAACCCTGAACCCTCAACCCGGACAAAAAAGGTAAGGGCCTACTCTGGGTCCTACTAGTAGCCCTAAACCATAAACCCCGAGAAAAAGAAGAAAATAAGAACCCCAAACCCTAAACCCTAACCCCTAAAAATAGGGAACAAGAGCCTACTCTGGGCCCTACTAGTAGCCCTAAACCCTAAAGCTAAACCCTAAACCCTAATCCCTAAACCCTAAACTCTGAAAGAAGGGGGTAAGGGCCTACTCTGGGCCCTAACCCTCCCTCACCCGGGTGGCCCGAAATTGACATCCTTGAGATGTCCAAGTCGTCGTTTCGCATTACGTTTTAGGGTTTAGGGTGTAGGGTTTAGGGTGCTTTGCAAAGTTGATTTTGGGGGCTTTTTAGGGTTTCAGGGGTTGAGGGCTTTGTGCTTTTGGGCCTTGCGGTTGAGGGACACATGGCTATGCACAAAGCTGAGGGACGCTTCATCTCGGCACGCCCACATCAACAAGAAGTACGACCGGCCCCAAACCCTAGAGTTTAGGAATTTTGTTACGAGGACTTTCTGACGGGCCCAGGCCCTCTCAACCCTGACAGGTATGCGAATTGTAGTTAAGGGACAAAACACCAAAGAAAGGCTCCTGATAAACCAATTTAGGGCCCTTATAACTCTACTTATCACTAGGGGTCCCCTTCTTATAAACACTTTTTTGCAACTGGACTCCTTATAAGAACCCTAAACCCTGAACCCTAAACCCTAAAAAGCCCTCGTCAGTGTCGCAGGAACATTCTCCATTCTGTTGTCGGGTTGGCGCACTTGGACCCCAAGGGCATCTGTACAAGATTCACTGGGCAGATGCTAGACTCCTAGGCAGGACAGGGCGTGCGATGGGTTGAGGGTCTCGGGTTTAGGGAGTTCGTTTCATTTCGTTGGGCTTGAGGGTATAGGCTTATAGGTTTAGAATTCACAGACATGACAAACATCAGAACAAAAACTCCTATAACTCAGGTGTGTGTCAGAGGACGGAAGGTAAGGTTTAGGGTGAACGATACCGTGCTCATCTGATGTTGGACATGAGGTGCCAGGTTCACAGTCCTGGGAATGTGCTGTGGCCCTTCTACTTCAACAGTGCACCAAGTATTGGCGAAGGGATCAGGCAAGAGTGCTTCGAGCAACGGCAAGGGACACATGGGGAGTGGATTCTGCGTGCCCTATCCTCTGCCTTTTTTCTCCAGCCCGAAACCGTCCTCTAAAATCCAAAATCCTAAGCTCAACTTCAACCCTAAACCCAAACCCTAAACCCTAAACCCTAAACCCCAACACCCTCCAGCTCTGCCAATCCAAGGCAAGGTTCTGTGCCAGCTACGAGCCCGCCATTTCCAGGCTTTGCAGGACGTCCCCTTGGGAGCTTCTCAGGTTTCAACAGGAAGCCCCTAAACCCCAAACCCTAAACCCTAAGCCCCAAGAGAAGGGAGTCGCGGTGGGCTTTGTTCAACCCCTAAACCCTAAACCCTAAACCCTAAACCCTAAACCCTAAACCCTAAACCCTAAACCCTAAACCCTAAAGGCTTTGTTCAAATCAATGGCCTCTTTAAGTGGCCACATGTGGCCAGCTCAGAAGGAATCCTGTCATAGTGCTGCCTCGTACAAGGGGGGCCTAGCTTGCAAGAAACAAAACTCCTGAGGGGTTGAAGATGGCACGTACCTACATACATAGATTTATGTATGTATATACATATATATATACACACATGCCTGCGCGTGTTGTTATCATCTGATTTACAATCTAAGCCGTTCTACGTGATCCACCATCCAAACCTAGGACAAATCCTGAACACCTAACAACCGAAACAGGCAATCAAGCGAGAACGACAAAACCCGTTACGTCATAATCGCAAAAGAAAACTTAAATTGGTAGCCTAGTAACCACTCTAATAATAATAATAATAATAATAATAAGGGCACGCTTGTCTGGGCTGGATACTTCATAGGGGCACCCGCAAAAAAACGTGTAAAGGGTACCACTGGGCGACCAAGTTAAAGAATACCAACATGCGCACACACACACAAATCCTTCGGCTAGTCCAGTCCCTACACGAAGGGGCCCCAAGTTCTAAGTAGAGTTCTAAGGACCCGTAGTTGGGCTATAAGGATCCTATCTTAGGTTATAAGTCCCTTACTTACACTTACTAGAACGATAAGGACCCTATCTTAGGTGATAAGTCCCTTGCCTAGAGTTGCTAGAAGTATAAGGATCCTATCTTGGGAGAGTTCCTAGAACAACGGGACCCTTACTAAACCCTAAACCCTAAACCCTAAACCCTAAACCCTAAACCCTAAACCCTAAACCCTAAACCCTAAACCCTAAACCCTAAACATCTCAGAATTGCAGCCAGAGGGCGCGCAGCTTTTCGAAGGGTCCCTTCTTGGAAGGACCAAACTTGGAGGTTCATGGGTCGGTATAAGTAAGGCTGTATATAGCAAATATCCTAAAGGTTCAGGGTTTAGGGTTTAGGGTTTAGGGTTTAGGGCTAGAGCGGCCCCAGTTATAACAACCCATGAACCTCCAAATCGCCCGCGCAAGCTGTCGGTGTCCCATCCCATCCTTTGGCTCAAGGGCTGCGGGGTTTTTTGAGGGTTTAGGGGTTTAGGGTCTAGGGTTTGAGGGCTAAGGTTTAGGGGTGTTGAGAGGATTTAGGCCCCCCCCCCCCCCCCTGTAGAGTTTATAAGGATCCTACATTGCGTCTCTAGGGATCCTATCCTAGGCTAGAAGTCCCTTAACTACAGTTATAGCATATATGGGTTTAGGGTTCAGGGTTTCGGGTTTAGGGGGAACCCTGCTTGAATGAATGAATGTGGAGGGTTGAGGGGGTTTAGGGCTTCGACTCTTCCACTCCCAGAAGCAGCCGGCATGTCCAGCTGACAGGAAGCCTGTGTAACCCTAGACCTAAAACCCTAAACCACCAACCTTAAACCTTAAACCCTAAACCCGAAACCCTAAACCCCAACGCACGCAGCCCCGAAGTGAAGCAGTCCTACCTGACAACTCTTGTGAACCCGAAGTTGGGTTATATACGATCCTATCTTGGCTTATACGTCCCTTAGCTGCAGATAGTTTACTTAGTATACTAAGGTCAAAGGTTATTGAGTGGAGGTTGAAAGGACCCTAAGTTGGGTTATTGCGATCCTTTCTTGGGTCATAAGTCCCTTAGCTATAGATAGTGCACTGAGGTCAAAGGATTAAGTATGCCGTACAAGAAGGCCCCCCCCCCCCCCCTAGTTATTAAGTACAGTTCTAAGGGCCCTTAATTGGGTTGTAAGGGTCCTAACTTAGGTTAGAAGGACCTGCACTGTAGTTAGTATAGCAAGGGGGCCCCTCCTTGTAACGGCTTGGAGGCAGCTGAGGCGTTTGGCCAGGCCGCGTTTCTTCAGCTGCTGTATTGCAAACGGCGTGTCGCCTTCAGGGCCAAGCAGGTCGGCGGATGCCGATGTGCCACACCCGGTAGAACACACCGCAAAAGGTCATCTTCTACCGAAAAAGAAAAAGGAGAAAAAGCTATTCTTCCTGATAAGGGCAACACAGGGATTGTTACTCTTTATTTTCTAGGGGTTCTTTTGCAACTAGTAGGGTAGAACACCAACAAAAAGGTGTAGACCATCTTTCGAACTCTAAACCCTTTCGACTGCTAACTCTATTTAGGACCTTTTTTGGGGTAATGGGAGCCACCACAAGGTCAAAGCTGCAAAGAACCCCCCAACCCTCCCCCCCTGCTATACTAACGGCCGCTAAGGGAAATAGAACCAAAGTTCTACAACTGTATTTTGAATAAGGGAAAGAGGGGCCCTCATTGTATAACAACCCTAAACCCAACTTCCTGAACCCCAAGCCCGAAACCCTGTACATATAACCACCTGTAACACTACCATCTGCTTAAGTGAACCCCCCCCCCAACAAAAGCAAGAAATGTTCTTCCTCATAAGGGCAATATAGAGCCTCACATCCTAGACTTTTTTGGGCAGCATTCTTCCTTATAAGGGATTCTATACTTTTTTGTTTTTTTTGGGGGGGGCGGGGGGGTTCTTAAGCAAAGAGTCCAAGATGGGCGCATGCCCTAAACTCTAAACCCTAAACCCTAAACCCTGCCTGCCTAGATCTTCTTGCGAGGGGTTCGGCTACCGCGGCTGCGCGACCGTAGGAGACTCGGGGAGCGTCCGCCCTGGCAGGGAGCGATTTATGCAAGGAACCAAACCCTAGACCCTAAACCCGAAACCCTAAACCCTAAACCCTTAACCCTAAAAATCCCAAACAAAAAAACCATGCAGGGAACATAATGTCCCTTGCAGGTGTGTTCCTATTTTTTCCCTACTATGTTTCTTGGGTTCTCCCCTGTTGTGGGTTCCCATTAAAGTCTTTTTTTTGCGTTTCGGCTTTTGCCCTTAAACCCTCACATCGCGTATCGACTGCTGGATACCACCATGAAGGTGCTCGTACAGAGGCCTGAAGAGGGCCACTGGGAAGGTGCAAGTAGCGGAGATATCCACAAAAACCACTGCAAGGCATAGACTTGCCCTTCTTTCAAGGTACATCTTTGCTCTCTGGGAAGGGCTCAAGGATGTTCACGAGTTGTCCTACTACCCCCCTACCAACCCCCCCCCCCTAGGTTCCCCCCCTTAGGCTTAATTATCCCTAAATCGCCTTAATTATGGGGGGGGGGGGGGGTACTTTGCGGTTTAGGGTTTTGGGTTTAGGGGAGAGGGGGGTAGCCGGGGAACCCATGACATGTTTTGCGCCCCTGAGTCGAGCCGAGCTTCACACTGCCACGCTGGCCGTCTTTCATTCAAGGCTTCAGGCTTCAATCAGGGTTTGAAGCCTACACCCTGAACCCTAGGGTTTAGGGTTTAGGGGTTTAGGGTTTAGGGTAAGACATGCACGATGCAGCTTCTGACTCTCATACAGGGGGCTGGGAGGGGGGGGAGGGGGGTACTTCACATCAAGGTTCCTCTTTTTTGGGGTTGAGGGTTTCCGGTGGGCAGCGATTATCAGGCGTGGCAATTCAGGCTACCCCAAACGCTGCCCACATGATGCTGCTGCATGACCCTGGACCACACGACGCCCTAACGGCTCGCTGCACACTCGGAGGGTAGAAGGGGACCCTTAGTCTTCTTCCCCTGTAAAGCCCCCACCCTATATAGTCATCACATACCTAAGTAGCCCTTTATCAGGGTCCCTCCATCAGTCCCTTGGTAGCAAAATACAAGGCGAAACCCATAGTAGGGGATAGGATTAGGGGGACCCTTGGGGATATAGACCCTCTGAAAAAGGTCCCTGTTTAAGAGAGCCAGAAGAGGGTTAAGAAGGGCCCTAAACCCTAAACCCTAAACCCTAAACCCTAAACCCTAAACCCTAAACCCTAAACCTCCCCTTTAAGGGTACCCCTTATCCTACCTAGGACATAGTAGGCCCGAAGCACCTCTATGACCCCCCCATCTCGGCCTTGGGAGTTTCTGTCTCCATGGACATTGACCTCCCTCCCCGCATCATTTCCTTGGAGCAGGGTTTAGGGTTTAGGGTTTAGGGTTTAGGGTTTGGGGTTTAGGGGCTTGCACTACAAGTGAACTCGGTGGGAGGGCAAGAGAGTTTGTAAGGCGCAGTTACAAGACGGGGCCCCGTAGTTCTAAGAAGATCCATATAAGGGGGCCAAAGTTGGGTCATAAGTATTGTAACATAGGCCACACGTCTGTAAACAATGTGTTCGAAGAAAGACGCCCCTACGTGCACGCAGAGACATGACAGCCGGTGGCGGGTACGCAGCAGAAGATAGCTCCGAAGTCCGATCTAATACCCTTAGCCAGCCGAGACCGCTTAAGGATGCTTGATGTATGCGCACACATACACAGTACATAACACGTGTTCAACACGGATATGTTGGGATCTTCTCCCTTATACTAACAGTCCTTAACAGGGGTTATAATAGGGGTACTTTAATTCATATTAAGGACTGCGAGTATACTTGGCTGCACTCAGGAGGGTAGCTATAAATTAAACTTTTAGCTGCCTTATTAAGACACCCAATAAACCCAAAAAAGGTAAGGATCTAAAGTTACGGTAAAGTACCACAAAGTATGAAGGGGAACACCCCAATAGATATGGAATGGTCTGCATGTGCACGTGTCTGTGCGCACACAGGCGTGCACTCCCTAAGGCTCGAAGGCCTCCTATTTTAGCATTTTTGGGCCAAAAGACCTTGAAATATCGGGTTTTTGGGCTATCTTGAGCCTAAAACCTAAACCCTAAACCCAGAACCCTCCTAAACCCTAAACCCTAAACCCTAAACCCTAAACCCTAAACTGAGGGATTCTGCACCAGGCAAGCTGCCATGAACTCCTCGAAGTCGATAGAGCCATCGCCATTTCGATCGACGTCCTCTACACGTGTTGACTGTTGCGGCCATCACTTCAGCACGCCTTAGGCTAGGGCTGCAAGTCTCAACGAATCTACCAGAATCTAGCATACTGACTGCAGTTAAACAAGGGGCATGTTTTAACCTACCTGTAGAAAGGGCGGCCTCTTCTAGGTGAACCACGACATGAAAAAAACAAAAAAAACGATCTGCTGCCAGCTGGCACGCGTGACACGCTTGCACACCCCGTGCCCTAAACCCTAAAACCCTGAAACCTCGAAACACAGCGGCCTTTGGACCCAAAAGCCGAAAGCCATCGAAAGATAGCATGGTGAATCACCCATGAGCCAGCCTGTATTCAAAACACATGTTTTCGAAAGGCAAAGAACGCATTAAAGCCCTAAACGCTAAACCGTAAACCCTAAACCCTAAACATGCCTCCACTGAAGCACTCACGACCCTGGGCCCACACACCCCCAAAGCCTCATACCACGTCCGCCAAAACACCTAGAGCCCTCAAATTCCCTAATTCCCTAAAGTCGTAAACCCTAAACCCTAAACCCTAAAATTCCCCAAACACACACACACACACACACACACACAAAAGCCCTCTTCCCTGAGACCCCAGCGCCTCTTCTGGGAAGGAGCAGTGTTCACCAGGTTCACGCGGGTGGACTATTTATCGGGCCCACTCATGAAATCGAATAGCCACTCAAACCCGAAACTTGGGATGTTCACCCTTTTTCTAACAGTCCTCAAGAATATAGTACCCCCATGATAATCGCTATTGAGGAGGACTGTTCGTATAAGGAGGGGGGAACATCCCAACCTAAAACCCTAAAGCCCTAGCCCTAAACTTATGTTTTTTGGAAGTCCTAAACCCCTTGAGCATCTGGACTCATTTCTCTGTCCTGAACCTTAAGACACTTAACCTTCGAGACCTAAACCCTCCCTCCATTAAAACAAAAAAATATATATATATATAGATATATATATGTATACAAATATGACTAGCCATAAACCCTAAGCTCCAAACCCCAAATAGCCCTAAACTCTAAACCCCCAGAGAGCCCTTCACGCCGGAAGCTTTCCTGGAGGAGCTCCTCAGATGTCCAGGTGTCGATCACTTCCTTCGAATGCCGGCGGAGAGGGCTTTAGGGTTTAGGGTTTAGGGGGGCAACGGCCGCAACTTAGGGTTTAGGGCCATTTGGGGTTCTTTGGGGTTTAGGGTTTGGTTGGGTTCAAGGTTTAGGGCTAGTTGGAGTTCTTTAGGTTCGGGGCTAGGGTTTAGGGTTTAGGGTTATACAAGGGAAAATGTAACTTCGCCCCAAACCCTCCTAGATTGATACTGATCTTATGTCACTCCATTTGTGTGTACCATTGTAGGAAATATTGGTTATAGTATTCCGTGGGTTGTGCTATTGCTAGCCTACTACAAACGAATTTTCAACATATCATTCTAGTACTGCATTGACAAATCTACGACATATATATATATATATGTGTGTGTGTGTGTGTGTGTGTTTGTTCACATTCACGCTATTCTTCTGTTGCGCTGCATCGCCTACTCTCTGGTTTGAGGATGCGGGTTCAAATAAAGGACTCCGCCAAAGGGAGGTCGCATATCGAACAACCCCATGTACAATACAAGCCCATGTACAATACAAGCCCTTTTGCAACGAGCTTGGCTATTCTCGCGCCCGGCTCAAGACCTAAACCCTAAACCCTAAACCCTAAACCCTAAACCCTAAACCCTAGACCCTAAACCCTAAACCCTAAACCCTAAACCCTAAACCCTAACTCGTGTCGTGGCAGGAAGCCTCCACGGAGCCATTTTCCAGGATCTGCTTCCTGAGCTGTGCGGGCCCTCCAAGCACTTGGGCAGCTCAGACTAGTTTAGGGTTTAGGGTTTGGGGTTTAGGGTTTGGGGTTTAGGCTTTCGGGTTTAGGGTTTCGGGTTTAGGGTTTGGGGTTCTGCATTCAGACACGGACCTGTCCTAATCCCTACACCCTCCACCATAAAGCCCAAAGGCACCTGAAAGATCCGCGCAAACAACAAAGCCTAAGCGCTGGCATAGGCTTCCAGGCTTCCAGGTTTCCCTAAGGGAACGCCCTAAACCCTAAACCCTAAACCCTAAACCCTAAACCCTAAACCCTAAACCCTCAACCCTCACCCTTTGGAGTTGGTGAGGTATGTTATTTGCTGTGATTACAACTGCTATGTGTTTATACTGAGGGTAGTATGTTGCTTACGTGTAGTGTTCTCATTACTATGATTACCAGTGCTTACTATATCTTACCATACACTCTACTACAAGAATGCCTTCTTATCTTTAGATACTATGCCCCGCCATCTCCCAATTCTTTTGGCTGCCCTCCACAAGTAGTTCCTGTTTGAGGCATGATCAAGGCACAAAGGCACTTTCAAGGCTGATGTGTTTAGGATCTTGCGATTAGGGTCTAGATGAGCGAACGGGCTTTGGGTTTCGGGTTTTGGGCTTCAGGGCTCAGGGTATGAGGGAACTTGCCTGAATACATGCTAGCCTACCTCAGTGACTTAGTTGCTGAGTTCATAACCCCCCGCAAAAAAAAAGTGTACACTCTCAGTTCTAGCATCCCAAAACGTGAAAAAGTGTGTTCACTGAGCTACTAAGTTCTAAACCCTAAACCCTAAACCCTAAACCCTAAACCCTAAACCCTAAACCCTAAACGAGAGTCAGCTCGTCGAGAGTGATGCACCCATCCCCATCCCGGTCGAAGACGGAGAAGGCCGCAAAGCAAACCTGCAACTTGCGGGTTTAGGGTTTAGGGTTTAGGGTTTAGGGTTTAGGGTTTAGTGACATCGGCAACTTGCACGACTTGGGGAGTTTACGGACATAAGGGGCCCCTAAAACAGCCCCCCAAATAGAGATTCCCTTGTAATAAGGACCCCCAACAAGGTACCCCTAACTTCGGAAACCCCCAGCTATGAAGCAAGATTCGACCTAGAAGAGCAGACTCGGCTTTCACCACAGAAATGCTGATGCTTTCCATTATGTTTAGGGTTAGGGTTTGGAGGTTTCATCAGCTAGACTCCTAAAGTCTTGAGCGCCCACAACTTACTTGGACCGTCCAACTTCCGCACATCTCGGCCGATACAAAAAACAGCATGGTTGCATCCCATTCCGAGCTCAGCAACATCTCGCTGGAGGTAGACTTTCTTGTCCAACGTGGCGGCCAAGAACTCCGTGTAGTCCTGGGCGTTTTTTTTGTTATATAGGGGGCTGCAAGGGAGCCTAAACCCTCAAAAAGGGAATAAGGGCCTACTCTGGGTCCCAGTTATCAAGACCCGGCTCAAGGATGATGCATTCAGTTACAGACCCCACCCACCAACAAAGTAAAACCCGCGCCCTCACCAAATGCTCTCAAGCCGAGCCCGCAGCCATTCAGGTTTTAGGGTTACCCTAAGCCCTAAACCCTAAACCCGCAGGGTGGGGCCCCCCGATCCTCAACTTAGAAGATTCCCCCCTGCAAGCAAGGGTCTAGGGTTTAGTGTTGGGGGGTTTAGGGTTCCCTATGTCAGTCCGAACTCCGCGAAAGAACTGAAAAGAGAACTGTGCTGGATGATACAGCGAAACATGAGATGCAATGCATCCGAGCGTGTGCCATCGCCTGCCTCACATGGTACCCAAATAACCCTATCCCTCAAACCCTACTTGGAGGTTCATGGCCTTGTAGACCCCAATTGCAAGTCTGCTTGTGGCCTACTTTGGGGATTTAGGGGACACATAAGTGCAGCTAGTTGCAGCCCTAAACCCTAAACCCTAAACCCTAAACCCTAAACCCTAAACCCTAAACCCTAAACCCTAAACCCTAAACCCTACTCTTGGGGTTCCATCCTAGAACCTCCAAGTGAGCCCTTCCCACAAGTCCCCGCGAAGCGTCGATAAGACCGCTGCCATCCGCATCCACGCCTTCCATGATCGCCTGCGCAAGACGTGGGGGGGGGTAGGGTTTAGGGTTTAGGGTTTAGGGTTTAGGGTTTAGGGTTTAGGGTTTAGGGTTTAGGGTTTAGGGTTTAGGGTTTAGGGTTTGGGGTTTGGGGTTTAGGGTTTAGGGTTTAGGGTTTAGGGTTTAGGGTTTAGGGTTTAGGGTTTCTGGCAAGGAGCCGGAGTCCGTGGAACAATGGAAGCCCTGCAAGAAGGATCTAAACCCTAAAGCCCCTAGAGCCCCTAAAGCCCCTAAAGCACCTAAAGCCCCTAAAGCCCCTAAAGCCCCTAAAGCCCTAAAGCCCCTAAACCCAAAACCCAAAACCCAAAACCCTAAACCCCCAAAGCCCCTAAACCCTAAACCCCTGAAAGAATCTTTGGAGGAGCTGTGTGGCGGGTCTCGCCTGCAAGTCGATCGTCGGGCTTCGAGCTTTTGCCCGCGTGATCCCTTAGTCTTGTGGGGGCTCAGGATCCTCCACTCCAAGTCAGGTAGGGTTTAGGGTTTAGGGTTTAGGGTTTAGGGTTCAGGGTTCAGGGTTCAGGGTTCAGGGTTCAGGGTTCAGGGTTCAGGGTTCAGGGTTCAGGGTTCAGGGTTCAGGGTTTAGGGTTTAGGGTTTAGGGTTAGGGTTTAGGGTTTAGGGTTTAGGGGTTTAGGGTTTAGGGGTTTAGGGTTTAGGGTTCAGGGTTCAGGGTTCAGGTTTAGGGTTTAGGGTTTAGGGTTTAGGGTTTAGGGTTTAGGGTTTAGGGTTTAGGATTTGGGGTTTAGGGTTTAGGGTTTAGGGTTTGGGGCTTGGGGCTTAGGGTTTAGGCTTTGGGGTTTAGGGTTTAGGGCTTCGGGCTTCCTTAAGTTGCAGAAAGGGATCCCTACCGATGATTTAAGGCCTTTCCCTAAGGGATCTTTCAGTCTTTGAGCTCCTGAGCCAGAGCAACAGTTCCACAAGGCCGAGGTTCCGGTGGTATGGTTTCGCGTTTAGGGTTTAGGGTTTAGGGTTTGGGGTTTAGGGTTTAGGGTTTAGGGCTTAGGGCTTAGGGTTTAGGGCTTAGGAGGCGGCATGTAGTTTGCTTTGAACGTTTGCAGGCTCTAGGTCTTTTCTGAGAGCGGCAACTTTCCATAAACATCCGAACACAGCCGGCTGCAGCCAGGGATCCGTCTTTAAGCTCTGTCGTGGTCAAAAAGCCTTGGTCCCAATCGAGCGACATGCCGCAGCAGAGAATCAGACCGACAAAGCTTTTGGAGGCCCATACAACACTCATCCCCTCAACCCTTCCTTCCTAAACCCGAAACCCTAAACCCTAAACCCGAAACCCTAAACCCTAAACCCGAAACCCTAAACCCTAAGCCCTAAACCCTAAGCCCTAAACCCTAAACCCTAAACCGGAACGCTGGCTTTGAAAGCACTCAGGGAGGCACCATCACCATTCACGTCGAGAGCTTTGAAGATCTCCTGCCAAGGTCTCTGCGAATGTTCAACGTAGCAGGGGGGGGGCTCAGGGGTCAGGGTTCTCCTTAACGAAAATGATATTTCTAATATCCTCTTGGGTTTTGTATAAACAAAAATAAAAAAATAATTCCCAAGGGGGATATAGCATAAGGGACCCCTAGTATAGTCCTCCCAAATAGTAGGAATACCCTTATTCATGAGGACCCCAAAACGGTGCCCCTGTTTTTTTCTTGGAAAACCGCATTTCGCATGAAAGGCACACCTCAATCACATCCTACCAGGATGTGCCACATCAGGCCTTTTCATCCTACATTGATGTGCAGGTCTGTTTGAAGAGCCCATATTCTTCGAGCTCCCATGGACCCTTCTTTCCTGCTACCCCCCGCACTAAAAGCTCTCTTTGAAGTCGGACTTGATGACTGCTAGCACTCACTTGCCCCGCCCTAAGCCCTAAACCCTAAACCCTAAACCCCAAATGTCACCCTTGGGGACTCTGAGATGCCTGAGTTTCGTGCTAAACTCATCTAAGATGCACATTTTTGGAGCCTAGAGGCAGGAGCAACCTAGGAATAAAAAAGGGTACCCTTCTGTGGATTCAAGGGGGTTAGAACCCCAACCCTTGACAAGGGAAATAAGGGCCTACTCCGGGTCCTAGTAGGGTTTAAGTATAGGGTTTTGACCATCCATCCAGAGTCTCCCCCTACAAATGGGCAGTTTCGTCAAGGGCTTAGGGTTTGGGGTCACATCTCTACATCCTAAACCCTGAACCCTAAATCCAAAACCCAAAACCCCAAAACCCCAAAACCCTAAAACCCTAAAACCCTAAAACCCTAAAACCCTAAAACCCCAAAACCCTAAAACCCAAAAACCCAAAAACCCAAAAACCCTAAAACCCCAAAACCCCAAAACCCCAAAACCCCAAAACCCTAAAACCCTAAAACCCTAGAACCCTAAAACCCTGAACCCTGAACCCTAAACCCTAAACCCTAAACCCTCAACCCTCAACCCTAAACCCTAACCCTAAACCCTAAACCCTCAACCCTAAACCCTCTGCTGTGAACATATTGCGGACATGGGCGCCCGCAGGTCCGCGATCTCGGCTTCGCTCATCTGCGAGGCGATGATGTTCAAGGCCGCTTTCTTCAGCTTGTTCTTGGACCTGGTTTAGGGTTTAGGGTTTAGGGTTTAGGGTTTAGGGTTTGGGGTTTGGGTTGCAGGGTTTAGGGCCGCTTTCTTGAGCTTGTTTTTGGATTTGTTCAGGGTTTCAGGGTTCTTGGACCTGTTCAGGGTTTCGGGTTTAGGGCTTTTAGGGTTTAGGGCCACTTTCTTGAGCTTGCTCTTGGACCTGGTGCTGAGCTGAGGGGGCGGGGTGTAGGGTTTAGGGTTTAGGGTCCAGGATTCTAAACCCTAAACCCTAAACCCTAAACCCTAAACCCTAAACCCAGGGTTTCAGGGCTTCAGGGCTTTCTTCAGCTTGCTTTTGCACCTCGTCGGCTTCGGGCTACGCTTTCAGGGTTTCAGGGTGTACGGCTTCAGGGTTTAGGGTTTAGGGTTTAGGGACAAGGCAGGGGGCTAAGTAGACCTAAGCTGGGCCATAAGTATCGAGCCCTTACTTGTAGATTTCCGGGGTTTAAGGGTTTCAGGGCTGTAGGCATTCGGGGCTTTAGGCCCTTGAAGGGCCTTAGCGTTTCGGGGTATATAAGTTTACAAGGGGACTTGAGGCTCGTAGGGTTTCCGAAAACCCATCGGACTCTGAGTCTTCCTTCTCCTTCGGGTTTTGGAGTTTAGGATTGTGCCACCTGCCTGGTTAAGGGCTTAGGGTTGAACAAGATCTAAGGGAAGTATGATGCATTATGCCCAGGACCTGCGGAGCAACACCGACATACCACCCGCCAGCCAGAGAACTGTGCCTGTAATTGCCCTTAAGAGCATCAAGGAGGCCCCAAGCCCGAGGAGGCAGCCTGACTTGAAGCCTGTTTAGGGTTTAGGGTTTAGGGTTTAACGTTTAGGGTGCACAAAAATCTCTTGAACCATAGACCCTAAACCCTCAACCCTGGAAACAGCGACTCCCCCCGAAAAAAACTCAACGGAAGTTGGGGGGGGGGGGGGCCTGAAGCTCTTCAGGTTGTGCATGATGCGATCCTGCTGTCAGGTCTCACTTGACGCGCGGTTTAGGGCTTAGGTTTCGCCACCCGGGTTTAGGTTTCAGGGTTCAGGGTTTAGGTTTCAGGGTTTAGGGTTTGGGGTAGAAGCCAGAACCAGCATGGCCTACTACCGCAGCGTCATGGTGATTGCGGTGGCTAGAACTGCGGAATTCGACCTTTTCGGGTGTAGGGCAGATGGCTTTAGCCGCTTCGGGTTCAGGGCCTAGGGGGGGCCTAAACCCTAAACCCTAAACCCGAAACCCGAAACCCTAGGGAACCCGTTGTTTAGGATGTCTGCAGTCGGGTTTATATTCCTTGCATCCCCAAAAAGGACACCCAATAGCAACACCTGCACTCACCAGTAGCAAGGAACCCTAAATACTTTCACCAAGAACAGCAATATAGACCCTGCTCACTCGGTTTCAACCCTAAACCCTAGGCCCTAAACCCTAGAAGCCTAAATCCTAAACCCCAAACCCTAAACCCTCATCCCACTAGGCGTTTGCAGGTCGGAAGTTGCGATCGCAACCGGCGTGCCAACCAACTCACAGGTTGGCCTAGGGTTTAGGGTTTAGGGTTTAGGTTTAGGGTTTAGGGTTTAGGGTTTAGGGTTTAGGATAAGAAGCCTCCGAAAAAAAAAAAAACATTCCTAAGCATGATCCTCCGAGACCTTAAGAGTTTAGGGGCTTAGGGCTTAGTGTTTTTAAGATTCCTAGCTTTGATGCTCTTAAACCTGAGGGTTTAGGGGTTTAGGGTGTAGGGGCTTTAAGGTAAAGTCTAAAACGTCCCAAGGGCTCACCAAGTAACCTGGCATGCGAAGTTACCCCCCCCCCTCCCTCCCTCCCTCCCTCCCTCCCCTCGCCGGGATAGCATCTCTGAAGCATGGAGCCCGGAAAAAGCCCAGAAAGATATAGGGTTTAGGGTTTAGGGTTGAGGGCTGAGGGTTTGCCATTTTCGGCCAAGAATCTGCTGACTCGGGTTAACGAACAAGCTCCCGGCCCCAACGCTTGCTACCGCAGAGGTGTGTGGTCAGGATTTAGGGTCTCGACTTTGCCGCAGCCCTGGGCGCCAACTGTTCGCAACATGTTCAGGAACAGGTCCTGAATTCAGCCTCTTCCCCGACGCTACTGTCTTTGATAGTATGGGGTTTAAGGTAAGGAGGAGAGGGATGAAAGAACTGCACCACGGGGGGTAAGATGAAGAATGATTCTTCCCCAGGCCCCAAAGGCCCAAACCCTAAACCCTAATGATCTAAACCCTAAACCCCAAAGACCTAAACCAAAACCCTAAACCCTGCATTCCCTTAGCCCGAAACACCCGAAAGCACAAACGCTAAACTCTAAACCCCGAACCCAAAAACCCCTAAGCCCCGTGCCCTCGACTTCCGTCACAGGCCTGCAGACAAATGTTCTCGGCTTTTGGCGCGCGATCCTTGATCCAGACGTCCTCAAACATGCAGATTTTGGATTTGCCTAGAGCAAGCCTTGTACCTTGTAAAACAAAGGAGGGTTGTGTCACATGGCTCTTGCTACACCAAAATTTTGGAGACTTAGATCAGCCACAATACGTTTAACCCCTCTTGTGCAGTCGCTCTGGAGCTAAGCCGCCTCTGCGAGGCAACTCGCTATGTAAACACCAGCACAGCATTTGATCATGATCTTTCCTGCCCCATTACACATTGCAGCAGAGAACAGGTAGTCCCCCGCCCCCTGCCCCCGATTATGTCAAATCCCCCCTGCCCGATGCCGTTCGCCCTAAACCCTAAACCCTAAACCCTAAACCCTAAACCCATCGGAAAGAGAGCTCCATAAAACCCTAAACCCTAAACCCATCGGAAAGAGAGCTCCATAACACGTTCTGTAAGCGACCCCTTGCGGCTAGGGGACCTGCAATAAGTTGTACTACTTCCCCTCAGGACCTTACAAGAAGGGGCCCGCTGGTCATAAGTAGAGTTATAAGGGCCCTAAATTGGTTCTCAGAATTTTGACATAGGTTATGACTGAGCCCTTTAAGATAAAAGTTAGTATCATACAGCGGCCCTTACTTGTAAAGCTCAGCTTCTATGCGCTAGCTACGAATCAGGGAGGGCCATCCCTCCCTAACCCTAAACCCTACACCCTAAACCCTAAACCCTAAACCCTAAACCCTAAACCCTAAACCCCAAACCCCAAACCCCATCTTCGGCGGCCTGCAGGGCCTCCTCAGCGGTGTAGCGGGACTCTGGCTCGAATTTGAGAAGCATCCCTCAGGCTTCGTCGCTCACACTCGCACACAGCAGGCAAGGAGAGCTAAAACCCACACTTCAGCCATGTTTAGGGTTTAGGGTTTAGGGTTTAGGGTTTAGGGTTTAGGGTTTAGGGTTTAGGGGTCCAGAGCATTCTCAACAGACAGGTTGTCGGCTCTGAATCGTCTATGAGCACTGGTTCAGGGTTTAGGGCTTAAAGTGCAGAGTACATTTTTCAAAAGGCAGGATGGAACCCAATAGCCAAATGGGCAGAGTCTGCGCAGCCTGTGGTCAAGGATGGCAAATCGCGGCCCAAGGCGCCAATCAGCTTCTTTGCATCCTGTGAGATATGCCTCCAATACTTTGGCTCGAACTGGTACACGCCCTTCCGTACCTGAAAGCAGGAAAATGACGATGTTTATAAGCTGCCTGGCCCTAGTCCTTTCATGGCTCATGTAAGACCAAGGCCATTCTCGGACTGGCCACCAGGTTTTCTAGGGGTTCTACCTTGGACCCTTAAGGTTGTACCCTTGGGTTTGGGGGTCCCCTTTTAAGGATCCCTGAGGGAATATAAGGGCCATATCAGGGGCATATTAAGGGAACCTTTAGGGGTACAACCTTACAGTTACGAGGCTTCATCCCTTGATGTTTGCGTCGTGCGAAACCCTGAACCCTAAGACATACGTCTACATTTTGCACGAAGCCAGCCCAGCCACCCAGCCGCACAAGGAGAGGCAAGTGATTGGTACCCCTCAAAACTGAGCCCAACCCTACCTGAGCCCTTAAAGTGCAATTTTCTGCCCTTACTTGTAGGCACTTCCCAAAGCATAAGGGTCCCAAATTCAAAGGCCCGAAAGCCCTGAACATTGAAGGCGAATCCCCAATGCCAGCCTTGCTCAGCACCTCCTGATCAGTTTTGCCGTAGAAGGGCGGATAGCCGCAAAGCCTCGTAGACTTATTACAAGGGACCATGTACCTAAATAGGGACTACTTGGGCTTTGAAGTACTTGCTACATGGGGACCTTGCGCCCAAGTATTATAAATATTGGGTACATGGGTTCGACGTATCTTGAACGGTGAACGCTCCACCAGGATGGCCGAAAGGACGAAGCAGAGTTCGCGCCCTGTAAGCAAGATGTAGGAATCCCTAGGCCCCAAGAGGAGCCTGGGAATAAAAGGGTACCCTTCTTGGTTTAAAAAAAAGGGTTTATAAGGGAATCTGAACCCTAAAGAAAGGGAATCAGAGCCAACTCTGGGTCCTAGATCCTGATGCTGAACCCTCAGCATCTTCCTCAATCAACAAGTGTGGGGAGCCCGTCGGGGGCACAAGGCCTGCACCCTGCATCTGCCCTAAAACCCTTAAACCCTAAACCCTCAGACCCCCCTAGGCCCTAAACCCTGGCCCCCTAAAACCCTAAACCATAAAACCCTAAACCCGTTGTGAAAGAGGTCTCTCTCAAGTCCAAAACCCTACGCCCTAAACCCTTAAGGCCCCAAAGCCTTGTTCGATCCAAAGAGCACCCCTATAACGCCAACCCCAAGCCCTCTCTCCCTCCCAGGCATTCCAAACGTCAAAGCCAACCCTAAACGCTAAACCCTAAACCCTGTAAAAGCACCCTAAAACCCCAAACCCATAAAGCGCCCCCCCCCCCCCTGCTATTCTAACCAGAATTAAGGAACTTATACCCCAACAAAGGATCCTCAGAGAAGTACTGAAAACTAGGGGGCGGCCCCTAAACCCTAAACCCTAAACCCTAAACCCTAAACCCTAAACCCTAAACCCTAAACCCTAAACCCTAAACCCTAAACCCTAAACCCTAAACCCTCGTCGAGGCGCATCGTGTACATGATGACCCCACAGCTCCAAAGATCGCATGAGTTGTCGTACTTGCCATGCAAGACCTGGGGTGCCACCTCAGTAGGGTTTAGGGTTTAGGGTTTAGGGTTTAGGGTTTGGGGTTTGGGGTTTAGGGTTTCGGGTTTAGGGCTACGCCCAGGAGTACATGAAGACGCCAGAAGACCAGCAATAAGCCTGCCGCCCGGCCACGTAGTAAGGTGTGCCGGCTTTCGTGGCCATGGGAACGCACGCATCAAAGGTCTTGGACAAGCCGAAGTCGATGATCTTCAGCAGCGTGTTCTCGATAGGACCTGCCAAGGGATTAAGACATATTCGTGTTTAGTGTTTAGGGTTTAGGTTTTAGGGTTTAGGGTTAGGTTTCTGTCACGGGGGGATTCTGTCACGGGATGAAGACTCGCACCCCCAAGGTGGTGCCCCTAAAGGGTTCCCTTCCTATACTCCGAGTATGGCCCTCATATTCCCTTAGAGTATCCTTAGCAAGGGTCCCAAAACCCAACAGTACCACATTAGGGGCATGAGCCTGAATCCAGACAGGAACCCTTCCAACCTAACAAGACGCAAAGGTCGACGCGACGGTGCCCGTTGCCTCCAGCTACCCCTTCTTTGTAACCCAGTAACCATAATATGATAATAAGGGCACCCTTTCTTTGCTAGCTTATGTTAAAAGGGAACCCATAACCAAAAAAAGGGTAAAGGGTACACCATGCCTTGCTATTCTAATCCCTGGGGTCAAGAAGATGGGCGCATAATCCAAAAACCTAAGCCCTGAACCCTTTGTCTGTTTGCATCCAGGCGTCTGATCCGCTATAAGCCAATCACTAAACCCTGATATCCTAAAATCACAGACGCACACCCTGCATCCTCATCCCTGAATCCTTAGCCCGACCCTAAACCCTAAACCCTTTTTTACCACTGGACTGAGGGTCTAGCCAGTACTATGCGAAACAACCGGGAGGAAGGGCAGCACATACCAATCAACTGTAGAAGCGCCACCCGCTGAACTTTCAGCAGCCACTCCCTCGGAATGATCCCGAAGTGTCACACGTGAGCATGAGCTGCACGGCAAAGAGTCTATACAACATCAAGAAGCGATTCAGCAAACGTCAAAACCCTAAACCCTGAACCCTGACCCTAAACCCTAAACCCTAAACCCTTAAAATCCCGCTTAAGGTTCGTTAAGTTCTCAAAGGTCGGGGTGAACTGCGGTTTTGGGCAGGGAGGCTCAGCTGGCACCACCTAGCTGGACCTGCAAAAGCCCTGTACAGTTACATGGCCCCGTAGTATGGACCCTTGAAAGGGTACCCCTTATATACCGCTCATACACCCTATACAAACGAAGGGCCGTTGCATCAGAATTCATTAAAGAGGGTAAGGGACCATATTGAGGGCCCATGAAACTACCCGAGCCCTGTGCTTTCTAAACCCTAAACCCTAAACCGTAAAACCGTAAAACCTAAACCCTAAACCCTAAACCCTAAAACCTACCATTGTGGTAGGGTTGGGGCTGGATTGGTCACTTTGAGGCAGTTGAGGTCCAAGGCGCCCTTGGACAGGAAAAGGAAGTTCTCAGGCTTTAGATCGCGATGGCACACGCCACGGGTATGCATGTAGAAGACCTGGGGAGATGGGGGTTGGGTTTAGGGTTTAGGGTTCAGGGTTCAGGGTTTAGGGCTTAGGGCTTAGGGTTTAGGAGGGTTTAGCGGTTTAGGGGGGTTGGGTCTCTAGGGCGCTTCGCTGTGCCGCAACTTGAGAAAGGCAAGACATCCGGCGCGGGGGGGCGGGGGGTGAGCCTTAGGGTATGGCAGGGGAACCCTAAACCCTAAACCCTAAACCCTAAACCCTCAACCCTCAACCCTCAACCCTAAACCCTAAACCCTAAACCCTACGGTTTGTGCCAAGCTGGTGCCATGGCAAGCCACCGCGGAGAGCATCTGCTGAACTACGATGGCGCAGTCCTTCTCGGTGAACTGGCCAACCTTTTGCAGGGTTTAGGGTTTAGGGTTTAGGGTTCAGGGTCTTCGGGTTCATGGTTAGGAGTATTTACCTTGTACAGGGTTTTAGGGCTTAGGGTTCATGGTTTTTAGGGTTAAGAAGTGGGAGTATTCGACCCAAGGCAACGCCAAAACCACTTGGTGACTGGTTGTAGAACCGATGCAGGGTTTAGGGTTTAGGGTTTAGGGTTTAGGGTTTAAGTTCCGTGGGGTGTTGATGGAATCAGCCACGAATGCCATCCCCCCCCCCACCTCGATGATCCGATCGAACAGCTCGCCGCCTGTACACAACTCCATGGCCAGGTAGATGTGCTTCCGATCCTCTCAGCAATGCTCAGGGCTTCAACGCCCACACTCGCACAGGGCAGACAGGTGTCCACAAGCACAAAACCCTAAACCGTGAACCCTAAACCCTAAACCCTAAAGGGTTAAGGGTTTAGGAACCCTTTTGAACGCGAGACTCGGACAAGCTTGCTGAGACTCCTGGTTCCCTAAGCCTAAGCCCGAAGCCTTTCGCAATTGGCTTTGGGGTTCCGGGGGAGGTGGCACTGGGATCGTCTAGGCCTACTCCTCCCCTAAACCCTAAACCCTAAACCCAAACCCCAAACCCCAAACCCCAAATCCTAAACCCTAAACTCTAACCCTAAACCCGATAGAGCACGGCCTCGAAGGTCTCATACAGCTTGATGATATTCGGGTGATCCTCGGATTGTGCGGGCGCACCCTCTCCAACCTTCTCTCGCTCAGACCTCCAACCCGTGCTTTAGGGTTTAGGGTTTAGGGTTTAGGGCTTCAAGATCCCGATGCCAGAAGGTACGTACAGACTACCATATGGAAGCGTCTGGGGGCTACTTGTACATGTGGTAACTTAGGCTCGTTTTGGGCAGGCCACGTAATATGGCAACTTAACCTCTTTTATTGGGCAGGCCCTGTAATATGAAAACTTAGGCTCTTTTGGCAGGCCATGTAATTAATAACTCTAAACCCCAAACCCTAAACCCTAAACCCTAGTAAGGTTGCCAAGGCTCCATTGTCTTCATGATCTGGATCTCTTGCTGGAAGCGGGCCACATGCTTCCTCAGCTGGAATTACAACGCTGGCGGGCAACGAGGGTCCATGGGCCTGTATCATATGCACTTGGGCCTTTCAAGGGGTTCCCACAAAATAGCTTTAGGGTCCAAGTAGATACTCTATGGGTAACTACATGGAGTGTTAGGGTAAGAGCAGACTTTTTACTGCCATCATGAAGTTCAGGGCAGACACAACATCCCAGTAACCTAAGAATCGGTACCGCCCTCCTTCGAATTGCTCCTTGGCGCAGTTCCACGGGGGGGGGGGGGGGTCCTGCTTATGTCCGGCAGCCATACCCTTACAGCTAAACCCTAAACCCTAAAACCCTAAACCCCCAAAACCCTTTTGACCCTAAACCCTAAACCCACATGGTGCCCGGCACCCGTTTCACACCCTTTATCCGCTCCACTGCCCATTTTGGTGTTGTAGGGTTTAGGGTGGTTCTAAGGGAACCTGCTAAACCCTGCAGCAAAAGGAAACAAGGGTATACTCTGGGTCCTCGATGAAGGGCTTCCTTTGGGGGGAGGGGGGGGGGGGGGGGCGGGGGGATGGGAAGTCAACCCTAAACCCTAAACCCTAAATCCTAAACCCTAAACCCTAAACCCGGGTTACCCCATGTTGAGGAAATGCTCGACATGAACTTGGCAGACCCGTTGTCGGATGTGTGCAAGGTGATGCCTTTTCTGGGGCGCTTTGCCTGATCTGTCATTCTGGAACGGTCCTCATTGCGCATTCTGCCCGCGCGAGGGGAGTCGAGGGACAGGGCATTCCGGTTTCTGGACAGGTTTCAAAACGTGAGAAAAGGGCTCCGGCCAGAAGTGGTCATGGATGGGATGGCAACGTGAAGGTCACGACAGCATGCACATCTACTGACCCACATAGTACACTGAGACAGGCAGCTCGATCCTTAACTGTCGTTGGACCATAGCGTTTAGGGTGTAGGGTTTCGCGGTTTAGGGTTTAGGGTGGTCCAGGTTCCTATAGACATGTGACTTTCGGGGTCCCTTCTAAACCCAACCAAAAAAAAAGAGCCATTTGCAAGCACAGGATCTTGCACCAGTAGGGGACCTAGCTGGTTGGGTTCAATGCAGCCCAAAACGATTTTAGAATAGCTCCCTATGGAATTTCAGCCAGTCCCGAACATCAAAAACTATTCCAAACCCCCTAGGGTCCATGTACCTATATAGTATAGGCTCGGGTCTTACATGGGTTCCCAGATAGTAGCTTTGGGGCCCAAGTATAGACTATATGGGTCATCGCAACCCTAAACCCTAAACCCTAAACCCCAAACCCTAAACCCTAAGCCCTAAAACGTAAGCCCTAAACCTAAACCCTAAGGGTACATGGACCTTTAGGGAATTGCCATCCAGGGGGACGTCATTGTGCGTCACCCAGGTGCCCATGTCATCGTGGGAGGGGGTGCCGTGCACTTGCCAGAAGAGATCGGGTCCCTGTTCGATGATCGCCTGCAGTCCTGGGTTGGGGGTTTCGGGTTTGGGGTTTAGGGTTTAGGAGCACCGTCTTTAGGGACTTGAATAGAGTCCTCCATAGCGCCTGGTAGAAGGGAAGTATGCAAAAAAACAAAAAAGCGTCCCAAGACCCGACCTCGCATCGATGCTGCTCTTCGGGGGTCGCCTTCGAGATAGGGTTTAGGCTCGGGAGGGTTTAGGGTTTAGGGTTTAGGGTTTCGGGTTAGGGTTTAGGGTTTAGGGTTTAGGGTTTAGGGTTTAGGGTTTAGGGTTTAGGGTTTAGGGTTTAGGGTTTAGGGTTTAGGGTTTAGGGTTTAGGGTTTAGGGTTTAGGGTTTAGGGTTTAGGGAACCTTGCCTTCGAAGTAGTCGTTGGATCAGGAAATCCCACTGGTCGAATGAGCGATGGGGCACGACAAACGCCATTGACCTTCTGAGACGTGAACGCCCAGCCGCTTTCGTGAAGCAGGGTCGCTGCAATCACCAGGTCACAACGCTTCTGCATGGCGACGCGAATAGCCTCGTACTCAGGACCGTGTTCCTTGGGGACCAGTCTCCATTAAGGCATTAAGGTATACAAAACACAAAACCATTTTATGGTTCATTTGGTCCCCAAGGCCTCAAGGTCGTGAACGAAAATCTCCGCAAACTTCTCCGGCTGCTCACTGATCAGTCGGATCAAGCGGTTCGTGGCATCCTTCACCCTCTCCTTTTTTGGTAAAAGAAGGCAGAACCATACATGTGTGAGTATCTGAGCGCGGCAAAACCCAGAGGCCACGAAGGAGACATTTCATTGAGGGCAACGCTTTTGGGGTTGCGTATCGCTTTCTCATGCGAAACGGTGATTGATATATAGATATATACATAGATATATACATATACATATATATCCGGAGTATTGCTTTTGGGGTTAGGTATCGCTTCCGCAGCAGTTAGCCAGTCGTTCATCTCTTGTGGACCATATTCAATAAGCTCAGGTCCAAAAGAAGAAACCTCTAACAACCCCTACACAACCACCATACATCTAATTAACTACTACATGTGCTTAGAACCCTCGAAAACAAAAATAACAATCCCGATGTTACCCTCATAAGGCAGCATCTTCTTATTTTTGGGGGGTCTTAAGCAAATAGTAGCTAAAATACGAAGCCGACATGTAAAACATCAAGGCATCATTCCTCACAGATAGCTCAGCTTCGGCCACTGCCCGCTCTGAAACCGCAATGTCGCAGAGGCTCACGGTGACGTCGCCGAAGGCCGTCACACAGGCAGTGCCTCTTTGTATCGCCACCTGGCCATTCAAGGAAGAGGTTCCCACCCTAGTTATGTAAGTAGAGTTACAAGGACCCTAACTCGGGTCAAAAGGAGCCTATCTTAGGTTCTAAGACCCTTAACTACAGTTGGTATGGTAAGGCGGCCCCTTTTTTGTAGGGGCCCTAAACCCTAAACCCTAAACCCTTATTTATTTAGTAGGCGGTCCCTCCTTGCATGGAACTTGAAAACAAGCTGCGGTATGCTAAGAGTGCACTTGGAGCCATGTCCAGCCTGAAAACATACCTGCAGATTCAGGCAAAGACCACACCTAAACGCTAAACCCTAAACCCTAAACCCTAAACCCTAAACCCTAACCCCCCACCTCCGCTGGCTTGTACTTGGCTTCGAACATGCAGCACCACTCTCCCGGCTTCCAACTGGGGCCCCCTGGTCCCTGATCTCCGGTTGGAAGGCAGAGCCTGAATTTAGGGTTTTGCAGCACAGGGTTTAGGGTTTATAGGGGTTACTGGTAGGGTTTAGGGTTTAGGGTTTAGGGTTTAGGGTTTAGGGTTTAGGGTTTAGGGTTTGCCTCGTCACGCGTCGCCAGCAGCAAGGCAGGGAGTAAACCAGTAAACCCTAAGCCGTAAACCCTAAGCCGTAAACCCTAAACCCTAAACCCTAAACCCCTGTGAAAGTGGGCACTGAAATCTGAAAAGTCTTGTCCTTGAGAGCATGCAAGGCGCATTCCTGTCAGAAAGGCAAACAGCTGGCCAATGACTGCTTCCCGTGTGGCGTTCTTTTTGCTGCCGAAGAAACCCGCCCAGTCCGTCAGACCTAGAGGTTTGAGGGAGAGCAGTTCAGGCAACGGTTCTTTGCAAAACCCTAAACCCTTTTCCAAGAGACTTAACCCTAAACCCTAAAACCTTAAACCCGAAAGAAACAAGGGTGTTGACTTCGTTGTTTCCTCAAACTCACGAGCCCAGCTAAACCTCCCAACGCCAAAACCTACCAGGTTCATATGGAGAGCTGGAGAATAGGGCGAAAATTTTAGGTGCCCCCAACATGAGGTTTTAACCAGCTAGAATTCAACTTACCCTACTGATATCCCCAGCTAGAAACACATCTGAGCCTGCAAGTAGGACTATTTTGTTGCATCCGGGCTATGAAGCAAGCAACCCTAAACCCCAAACCATCCATCTCTCTCTCTCTCTCATCTCTCTCATCTCTCTCATCTCTCTCTCTCTCTCTCTTCTCTCTCTTCTCTCTCTTTTCTCTTCTCTCTCTCTTCACTCCTTCTCTGCTCTCTGTCTCTCTCTCTCTCTCCCCCATGCATGACCCCCCCGAAGGGAGGCCGCCCCCAGGGGCGCGTGCGATGTCCATCTCCATCTCTCTCTCTCTCTCTCTCTCTCCTGCGCGCATGGCCCCCCCCCCCCCCCCCCGAAGGAAGGCCGCCCCCAGGGGCGCGCGAGTGTCTTGGGTACGTTTGCGAGAGTTGACACCTTTTGTGACCTCTCGGTTGTCTCTGCTCTCTCTGTCTCTTTCTCTCTCTCTTCGGTCTCTCCGTCGGTCTCTCGAGAGAGAGACGTCAATCCTCAACCATCTACTACCTACAACCCTATAAAAGGCCCGATGACCATGGAGGATGTCGCCCTGAACGTCGGTCAGAAGTCGGCTCATGACACCGCAGCGCGAAAGGAGGGCCTCCCCTCCTGGAACTGATGGCGCTGCCTGTGAACCTGACTCTTCAGTAGGGATGGAGGTTTAGGGTTTAGGGTTTAGGGGGCGTATAGCGTTTAGGGTTCGGGGTTTCCCAAACATCGTTCAAGTTGGCGGGTGATCAAGTTGGCGGGTGATATAGGGATTCGGGTTGGAGGGTTTAGGAGTCCGAAAAACAACATTCTCAGCAGCTTCCCGGGAACACTGACACAGGAGTGCTCCAAAACCATCGTGCACCCGTGGCAGTCCATCGAAACTGAACTGAGTTGGTGCCACGTGGGTTCCTTCAATCTCCTGAGAAGGCCCGCCGCCCATGATGCTGGAGGAGTCCGGCAAAATTGCACGCACTCAGCTGTTCATGTCGTAGTGTCTAGGGTTCACGTGGTGGGAAGGAACAAAGGTTTGTCGGAATACTCATGTGCTCGAATTGTCAATCGAATCTGCTTGAGCAAAATCGACTGGTCGCATCAGGCATGCAGGCACTCAGGACGGCACCCTCAACCCTAAGCCCCAAAACCCCGGAACCGACACTAAGTAAAATCACACTTTGAGGTTCAGAGGTACAACTCCAGACACCCAGGCGCACTAGTACCCATGAATCTTCAAGTAGCTTGTGAAGTCCCAGGATGTCAAGCAAAACTACCCTAAACCCTAAACCCTAAACCCTAAACCCTAATCCTGAGGAGAATGCGGGGACTTTGGCATATCGAGGCGCATGTTGGCTTTGGACATCGTCTTGATGGCACGCTGCTGGTGCGTGCCTCTGCATGGAATCACGGGAGTCAAGCTAGGGTTTACGGTGTAGGGTTTAGGGTTGAGGGTTCCTGCTTTATATATATATATTTATTTATTTATATTTATTTATTTATTTACCTATTTATGTATTTATTTATTTATATGTATCCCCCTTATATTCCATTAGAGGATCTTTTAAAAAAAGGTCCCCCAACCCAAGTGGGTGCAACCTCCGGGGTCCAAGGTCGAGTCCCATTGTGAGGCAAAAAAAACGCAGTTGCGTAGACCTGGGGGGCGGGGGGGGACACAGAAAATTCCTAAATGAGTTGTATATAATGTCCAGAGAGAGATATGGAGGGGAGAGTGGGAGAGAGACAGAGTGTGAGAGAGAGAGAGAGATAGCGAAAGATCGAGACAGAGAGAGAGAGAGAGAGAGAGATCCAGCGTACTTTAGGCCAGCATGCTCCTACATCTCTCACTTTGTTGCTTAGCAGGCATGTGCCCTTGAAAGCCTGTAGACCATACGCACTCTCCTGGATTGTAGACCGAGGTGCTATTGTGCACACCGATGGTGACAGAGCCATAGGTACCTTCGCCGATCTTAGTCGGCTGCAAAGTGTACATATCCTGAGCTGAGCAGGTTCCTGTGGGGGCCTTTAGGACACCTAAACCCTAAACCCTAAACCCTAAACCCTAAACCCTAAACCCTAAACCCTTTAAAAGAGCGCAAGTTGAGGGCTCTTTCGGTTCGGGGTTGAGTACTTACGGTTCAAGACGTTGCGTTTCTGCGGCGTGAAACAAACATCCTGTTGGAAGCCTGGACTTGGTGACGGCCAGGAAAGCGAGCGGAACCCTCGACCGGATGAAGCCCCTTAAGAGCCCAGAATAGGCTTAGGGCCTCTGGGGACAGGGCTTCGGGTTTAGGGTTTAGGGTTTAGGGTTCAGGGTTTAGGGTTTAGGGTCCACGGTTTAGGGTTTAGGGTTTAGGGGGCCTACTTGCCCATCCAGGTGAGGAATGAACTGTGGCATGCATCCTGGACATCACCGGGGTGGCTGATGATGAACTTGCTCCGTGACCTTAGTCAAACTTGGTAGCCCAGTAACCATCTCATAATGCGCGCACCTTTTGTGGGTGAGTTTTATAAGGGAACCCATAACCTCCCCCCAAAAAAAGGGTGAAGGGTACCACTGGGCTACCAAGCAAAAGCCGTAGGATGACCATGTCCTGCAAGGACAGGCCCTGTGAGAGATCCACCTGAAAATAAGCCACCAAAGCTCTTGGAGAAACCCGCGCAGTGGACATGCAAAGACATTTTGAAGCAAGGCTTCAAGGAGCACAGCAAGCCTAAACCCTAAACCCTAAACCCTAAACCCTAGAATCATCCGAGGAATCCACCTTGGGCAGGCTTGGGGCCTCTCTGAGCCAGCTGAGGCAGCCACACAATGTCGCTTTTTGTGGTCTTCGGCTCCTTGTCGCACATTCGGTGTGCTCGGAGCACTACAAGTATTTAGCCCCTGTATTCCACTGGGTTTAGGGTTTAGGGTTTAGGGTTTAGGGTTACATAGCCCTAATAATTCTACGTAAAACCAGAGGGGCCTTCTTGTACAGATCTGATGGGTAGGATAGCAGGTTCATGTCGCACAGCAGGCCATCTGCACGGGCACTATGGCATGCGGCATACTGCGGCACGATGGCACTACAGTGCAAAGGTCGCAAGCTGGATCCGTTCCTGCGCCCCTTAAGCGGTGGCCCAGAGGTTGCAAGAAGGGGCCCCCGTAGTTTTAATTAGCGTTATAAGGACCCTAGATTAGGGCATAGGAATCCGAACTTAGGTTGCAAGTCCCTTAACGATAGTTAGTGTAAGGGCTCCCCTCCTCGCACAGCCCCTCCCTATAGGCCCGCCCCAACCCCCCCCCCCCCCCACGAATATTCCAAACCCGACAGCAAACTCTAAGCCCTGAGCCTGTCAACCCTAAGCTGAAGGGCAGCTTCCTAAATGAGGGTCCCTTTTTGGGGTACCCATTCTAAGGCGGCACCCTTTGAAAGGGATCCCAAAACCCTAAACAACAAACCCTAAACCCTAAACCCTAAACCCAAGGGACCCTCAGTTGGCGAACCGCCCCTGAAACCACCAAACGTGTCGGGCGTCGACCAGTACCTCAGCGGATGCCACCGGCCTACGTTCGTTGTCGGAGACGACCACGCTGTTTCGGATGACGTCCGGCTTTCCTCTCCCGGGAGAGTCCCTTTTGTGGGCTAAGGGTACCCATGTACCTAGAAAGTATATGCCATTATAGGTACATGGACAGTTCGGGGAAGTTAAAGAATCCGGTTTAGGGTTTAGGGTTTGGGGTTTAGGGTTTAGGGTTTAGGGTTTAGGGTTTGGGGTTTAGAAACCAGAACCCAAAACAAGCAAAAGGGCATCATTGGGGCACGAACCTTCGCCAAAAGAAAGGAGAACTCTCCGGTACTAGAGCCAAGAGTAACCTAGGGTTTAGGGTTTAGGGTTTAGGGTTTAGGGTTTAGGGTTTAGGGTCTAGGGATGAAAAAAGGGCACAGTGCCCTTTTCGGGTAAGGGGGCTGATAAGGGGACCTGACCCTTCGCCCAAACCCTAACCCTGAACCCTGAACCCTAAACCCTAAACCCTGAACCCTAAACCTAAGCCCTAATCCCCTAAACCCCTAAACCCTTGCTTCATGATAAAGGTTGGAGGGGTGTCCTAGTGGATCCTCGCGTCTTTCGCCTAAACCCAACTCCGAAAGCGTTTCGACGCTCGCACTCGCACAACGAAAGGGCTCAGGGTTTTTGGGGTTTATAGGGTTTGTAGGGCTTATAGGGTTTGTCGGGTTTCTAGGGTTTGCAGGTTTATAGGGCTTTAGGGTCTATAGGGTTTTAGGGCTTATGGGGTTTATAGGGTTTTAGGGTCCACAGGGTTTATAGGGTTCATAGGGTCCATAGGGCTTTAGGGTTTAGGGCAGTCCCGTCTCCAACACAGGCGGTCCTACGCATGCACCCATGCCGGCAAGGATGGTCAACTATCTGAAGCGGACTTCTTGAGCCGGGAGCTGCCATTGAGTCGCACAGGGCAGGTAAGTTAGCGCCAATCCCAGTTAAACAAAAGACATACCAAGCTAGATCCTCATTCTGAGATCAGATTTCGGTATGCTCCTTAAATTCAGGGGTATCGAGCTCTGTCGGTTGACTCTGCGATGAGCTGAGTTGGCGCAAGCCTGTTTTTGGGGCCTAAACCCTAAACCCTAAACCCTAAACCCTAAACCCTAAACCCTAAACCCTCAGCCTCCTTGTCTGCGCAGTTCCCCTCAAGAGCAAGCCATGGTAAAGAGCGTTTTGCACAAATGACACTTTCCGACTTCTGGGCGTGTTTCCCAGTAGCGCCACAGACATTCCATCCTTATGAGCTTGTCCGCTACAAGGAAGGCCCTTACAATACTGACTATAGTTAAGGGACATAGAACCTAAGATAGGGTCCTCATAACCCAATTTCTGGTCCTTATCACTCTACTTGTAACTGAGGGGTCTTCTTCTTGTACCTCCCACACCCAGAGCGTGAAGATAGAAAACTGCCCAAACTCGAAATAGAGCCTCAGTCGAGGAAGTGAAATGATCTCTATCAAACCCTAAACCCTAAACCCTAAGAACCCCCCCCCCCCCCCAAAAAAAAAAAAAAAAAAAAAAACAGTTAGGGGGCTCCCAAAGGCTTCCTTCTTGCTGGTGCCAGGTGGTCCTTTGATGCTGGGAGCCCTGCTGCGGCTGCTGGTGCCGACCCCTTGCTGGGCTTCGGGTTTAGGTTGGGATTTAGGGTTTAGGGTTTAGGGTTTAGGGCCTAGTTTAGGGTTTAGGGTATAGGGTTTAGGGGTAAGTCATGGTGTCGCCGCCCTCGCTACCGGCGACTTCTATTCCGCTGAAGAGGGTAGTTGCATGGTCCCCCTAATATCAATATGGGCCCTTGATTGGGCAACCTGGATGTCTACATACCCTCTATGTACCCCAAGGGCCCGCACTTCAGAACCCGTTAAGGAATGTAAGGGACATCCTGAGGGACCTCTCTTCGAGTCTATTCCCCTAAACCCTAAACCCTTAACCCCAAGGCCCCTTAAGGTTTTTTTGCCACCTGCCAAGCAGTCCAGCCCCACCGCAGGGTAAAAGGGGTTTAGGGTTTTGAGTTTAGGATTTGGGGCTTAGGGTTTGGGGCTTAGGGTTTAGGGGGCTTCGTAGGGCTTAAGGTAGGTCTCAGATTGTAGAGGCTCTACTGATAAGCTCCGGGTTCAGACGTTCTGCATGCCATGGCAGCTGTCGTTGGTCTGAAAGCTTGAAGTAGGTGACCCTTTCACTGTATTCTAGGAAGGGTTCCCCCTTTTTCTTCGGGGCACCTTAAAATAAAAAAAGCAAAAACAGGTACCACTCAGCTATCGAGTGTACTACATGCTCTTAGGCTGAAGAGGTAGCCCTATGGCAAGGGTGGAAGATAGCTTGGCTATTGCCTTCGTTGAACGGGGAGGTCCGAAACCTGTGGTTCACGGTTTCTTGTCGCCTCTCGTGCCTTAGGACTTCCGCATCTCAAAACCCTAAACCTCGAACCCTAAACCAAGGCATGGGCTTCACCCAGGGGCCTTGTCCTACAAGTAAGGGCCCCCTTTGTTCTACTAACTTTAGTCAAAGGGATTTAATAACCTAAGTTAGGATACTTATAGCCCAGTTTAGGGCCCTTCTTCTGGCTCTACTTGTAACTAGGGGGGCCCCTCCTGGTATGGTCTTTTGGGGGCCCCTCCTACAAACCCTAAACCCTAAACCCTAAACCCTAAACCCTAAACCCTAGACCCTAGACCCTAGACCCTAAACCCAAACCCTAAACCCTAAACCCCCATAGGCACATGTCTCCTCACAGAGATGCTAGGGCCGAGTGCGCGTGGTGCTTCGAAGCTCCTTGACAAGATCCTGGCTGTGACGTTGCCAGGGAGCCAAGGATCCCTCTAGGGTTTAGGGTTTAGGGTTTAGGTAGGGTTTAGGGTTTAGGGTTTAGGGTTTAGGGTTTAGGGTTTAGGGTTTAGGGTTTCGGGTATAGATGCCAGAACCGGCTACTCGGAGTCGTAACCGTGTAACCTATCAGCCCTAAGAGGTAAGACTAAGGGATATAGGGTGGTTTCTTTTTCAGAAGGGACAGTTAATCGTTGATCTTGTTCCCCAAGAAACCCCCTAGAGTCCCCATACGCCTAAGTAACCCCTACATTACCCCTAAGGTCCCTTAGTTGTAGGGGTCACTCCTTTTGAAGTCCGTTGACAAGAGCTCCTGTGAACCAAATGTATGGAAGCCTCTGCAACAAATGGCACTTCTCAACCCTGTGTTGAACCCGTACTGAGGCGGAAAACCCAAAGCCCTAAACCTCGAAACCCTAAATCCCAAAGTCCTAAACCTCTGAAGCCTAAATCCCTAAACCCTAAGAATCTGAACCCTAGATCCCTATCCCTAAACCCTAAACCCTAAACCCTAAACCCTAAACCCTAAACCCTAAACCCTAAACCCTAAACCCCAAACCCCAACCTGGGCCCTGCTGGGCTCCCCCGCCAGCGTGGACTGCAAGGTCGCGAAGTCACGCTGCTGCTGGCCCAGCTTGCTGTTGAGCCTTTAGAGTTCCCTAAGGGTTTAGGGTTTAGGGTTTAGGGTTTCGGGTCCATGTACTTGGAGTTTCAGGGTACTAGCTTGCTCTTGACCCTTTAGAGTCTCCTAAGGGCCCATGTACCTCACTTATATATAATATATTACGGTTTAGGGTTTGAGGTTTTTACTACTATTTGCTTAAGAACCCTTCGACAACAATAAAATAGTAATCCCTGTATTGCCCTTAGAAGAAAGAAAGTTTGTTTGTTTTTGTTTTTTTGTGGGCTCGCAAGCAATTAGTAGTTCGTAGTTTAGAGTTCCCTAAAACTCCGTGTACGTCATGTATACTAGGGATTAGGGTTTAGGGTAGAGTTCCTAGACCCAAGAGTACCTAGGAATAAAAGGGCGCCCTTTCTGGTTTAAAGGGGGGTGATACAAGAACCTAAACCCTACAAAAAGGGAATAAGGGCCTACTCCTGGTCCTAGATTCCCTACGGGTCCATGTGCCTTATTTATTTGATATATGTATATATATATATATATATACTAGGGCTTCGGGTTTTCCATGTACCTCATTGTTCTATACTTGGGCCCCACGGTCCCTATTATATCGCCAGGCCTTTAAGGCCCAAGTGCTCCCGATTTAGGTACATGGACCCTAAACCCTAAACCCTAACCATGGACCCTTGGGGATTTAGAGTTAGGGTTTGGGGGGTTTACTGGGGCTTGCGACTGGGGATCGGCACATGTCTATACGTTTATGTATGTATCAGTTCTGCAGAATATAAAGTTATAAAGCGAACTTAACAAGCACCTATGTGTCCATATGTATATACACACAGACACACACACACACACACATCTACGTCTACATCTACATCTACATCTACATCTACATCTACAGCTACCTCTACGCAAGGTCAACACGGCCCCACGGCGCATCTTCATGTTTCTGCGGGAGTGGAGTGACAAGCTCGACTGTGTCTCTGCCTGCTGCGCATCTATTGCTCAGCAGCGCCAGGGTTACAGGTTCTGGGCCAGTTTGTGGCTTTCCCTAAGGGTCCATGTACCTAATTATTATATACTTCGGCCCCAAATACCCTATATAGCAAGTACTTTAAGGCCCAAGTACTCCCTATTTAGGTACATGGACATTCGGGGTTTGGGTTGATGGAAGGGACCCGTCGGCCGAAAGCCCAACATTCTGGCCCTCTAGAATCTAGAAACTTCACGAAGGGTCGCATGACAGGTTGTGAAGACACTGGGCACATTGAGGCACTGTGAACGAGCATCGCGACTCAATGGCGGGTCGATCAGCGCTCTGTGCTGGGAAAGCACAACAAAGGTGCGTCAACGAGCGGAAGCCTACATGAACCACTTAGGTTCTAAGCTAACCGGACCCTTGGCCAGGGAAATCGCGGGTGCTAGTTCACAGCTTGCGAATTGTGCTCATGCAGCCTTGCCAGTAGAGCCCGTAAAGAACCCCAAGATCTAAACCCTACCCCCCGGTGAACTAAAGCCCTGCAAGCCCCAACCGTCCGGAACTAGCTGCCCGCAGCAACATGACGAGAACCCTGAAGAACAGCTGATCTTGGCTCAGATTTCCTAGACCCAAGACGAACCTCGCAATGAACAGTGCACCTTTTCTGGTTTCATGGGGTTGATATGGGAACCCAAACCGGAAAACAAGAGAATGAGGGGCCTACTCGGCCTACTCTGGGTAAACCAGCCACCCCAACTCAATGCTTCGATTCAGTCGCATTCGTCCAGGTTGTCAGCTAGGGCTTATAGGGTTCATGACAAAATGTTCGGGGGGGTTTAGGGTTTAGGGCTTAGGTCTTCAGTTGGGGACGTGACGGGTCACGGGGTTGGGCTCAGAGTGCAGCTGCCCCAAGCATCCCCAAGAAAAATCGCCACAAACACCCCCAAGAACCACTTAAACCGCTGAAAAGAGCCACTTTAAACCCTAAACCCTAAACCCTAAACCCTAAACCCTAAACCCTAAACCCTAAACCCTAGACTAGGCTGAGCATGCATGGCAAATTCGTCTGCCCAGATCCTCCTCAGTACCATAGGCCTTGCATGGGCTGAGGGAGGCTTATAGGGATCTACACCCTAAACCCTAAACCCTAAACCCTAAACCCTAAACCCTAAACCCCAAACCACGTAGGGGCCCCCTAGTTATAAATAGGGTTTTAAGGGCCCTGAATTGGGTTATAAGTATTGCCCTACTTGTACTGGCCCACTACGACTTGCTAAGAAGCCCCGAAAATTTGAAACAAACATTCAGGGATTAATATGGTTGATTGTTTTTTTTTTTTTTTTTTTTGGGGGGGGTTCTTAAGCAAACAGTAGCTCAAAGGGCTCACAGGCGCTCATAGGGTTTAGGGCTCATAGTTTTCATAGGGCTTACAGAATTTAGGTTTTACAAGTTGGGATGATTCCCCCTTCTACTAACTGTCCTGACTAGGGATTCTAGTACCCCCTATGATAACCCCTGTTGAGGACTGTTAGTATAAGGGGGAACATGCCACATTATCAGGTTCATAGGCGATAGGGACGACACAATAGTGATGGCTTGGGTGCCTAGGCTCTCGTGGGAGCTTGCCCTAAGGGTGCATGTTCCTCAACCCTAAACCCTAAACCCTAAACCCTAAACCCTACACCTAAATAGGGAGTCCTTGGGCTCCTTAAAGTACTTGCTAGATAGGGTATTTTGGGGGCCCAAGTATATAATCATAAGGTACATGGACCCTAAACCCTAAACCCTAAACCCTATACCCTAAACCCTAAACCCTAACCCTAAACACTAAACCCCAAACCCCTGAGGGTTACAGGTTCCAAGCTTTTTCACAAGGGAGGCCCCGGGTGCCCCCGAAACCCCTGCCATGCATAGCCCAGTCCTACTATTGCTTAAGAGCCCTCTCCCAAAAGATGCTAGACAATGATCCCCGTATTGCTGCCCTTATAAGGACGAAGATGTGCCACAAAAAATGGGGGGAGGGGCTCTTAAGAGCCCATAGTAGACTCTGCCTGGCCTTTTTTCAAGTCAGAGTCTAATTTCCGGGGCCCATGTAAGTTGAGAGGATGCGTTGGGTGGCGTGCGGTTTGTTCATATTAATATGCTTGTATAGGTATTGTAAGAAGGATGATACTGGAACTGCTATCTTCAGCATGTCTTGCCGTCTGCAGGTTTGCGGAACAAGCTGCCCACTTAGACCTGCGAGAGGCTGCTGAAGTAGGTGTTGGCAGCAGCGTTTACCTTCGCAAAAACAAGAGGAAGGATTTCGTGGCCATGCTAACCCCCGCCCCCCCCAACACTAACCAGGGCCGTGACTGGCCAACAAGGACATCATGCAGCCTAAACCCTAAACCCTAAACCCGAAACCCTGAAACATAAGCAGGCTCTTCGAGGAAAGGCAAAATCTGTCTCACCCAAGTCACTATCTCCCTTTAGGGTCTGCAAAGCCCAAATTGTCATAAACGTTTAGGTTAGGGTTTAGGGTTTAGGGTTTAGGGGTTTGGGGTTTAGGGCTTAGGGCTTAAGGTTTAGGGGTTGGGCACTACTCAGTCGAGTGGTGTAGCTGCTGCTAGTTCAGTTTTGCCAAGGCGGCAAAGGGATCTCTCATGCCATGCCCCTAAACCCTAAACCCTAAACCCTAGACCCTAAACCCTAAACCCATTGACCCTAAACCCTAAGCCCCACTGAACTCCTGCACACCCACTACGTCACTACCCCTCACGTCATGACTCGCAGAGCTACAATTCTTTGGGGACCAAAGGAAACCCCAAAATTGTCTAGGGTTCATATACCGCAAACAGGAACTATAGTAGTCTAGGGTGACCCTAAACCCTAAGCCTTAAACCCTAAACCCAAGTTCGGGATTCATTGGGTCTCCGAGGTTGTGGAGTCCGGCCCGGGAACGTCGCCCTTAAAGCGCTCCAGGAGGTTCTGTAGTACCAGATCGGTGGGGCTGGGGCCGACGATCCTTGGCTCTCGATAGGGTTTAGGGTTTAGGGTTTAGGGTTTAGGGTGTCTTCATAAGCACCATAAGGACCACATGAACCCTAAGATGGGGGTCATATACCCTATATACTGCTGTAGTTCCTATTAATTAAGGTGTACTTCCCGACCTAAACCCTAAACCCTAAACCCTAAACCCTAAACCCTAAACCCTAAACCCTAAACCCTAAGCCGACTCCCCTGGCAGCACTCTGCCGACCAAGGGTCTCGCGCAGTCGCTGGATGCTTCCGCGTCCCATCGCACCGAAGTCTCCGCAAGGGCCTCGGAGTGAACAAATCGGCGAAACCCTAAGCGACTGCAAGGGTTTAGATTTTAGGATTTAGGGTTCAGGGTTTAGGGTTTAGAGAGCCCAAAAGGGTCCATGTACCTAGTTATTCTATACTTGGGCCCCAAATTCCCTGCATGGCAAGTGCTTTAGAGGTCAAGTATTCCCTCTTTAGGTACATGGACCCTTAGGGAAAGCTTCACTCACGAGTCCAAGACCAGAAAGCTATGCTGCAAAAAGCCTCTATGGGCCTCGAAAACTCTCAAACCTGAAGCAACACCAAAGCCCATACATCTGACCACCTGTTAGGCCCACACCTAACTCTAGGATGGCCCTGAAAACCCTCTGAAAAATATTCCTGAATATGATCCTCTTAAACCCAATAAGGGAGAATATGAAATGTCCCAAGGGCCTACCTAGAATTGCAATCCACCGGCAGAGCAGAGAATCGCAGGACTTGCCCAGTCCACATGCTTGGCATGACAGACAGATTAAACAAAAAAGTAACTCTTTGGATTCTTCTGTAAAGCGCTGGAGACCTAAACACAGAACACCTCAAACCCCGAAACCCTAATAACAGCGCCCTCAACCCCATAACCCCAAAGCCCTCAACCCTAAACCAATCGGCCCCTTGAACCCTAAACAACAGAAGCCTAAACCCCTAAACATCCAAAACCCACACCCTACAAAACGCCCTTAATCCGAGGAGGTCTACCAAGCTTCGAAGCCTAGGAGCCCTACAAGTTCAAACGAGAGCTGCACGATGCCCGCTATAAACCACAGCCCGCCGAAAGGCCTCATTCCTAAACCCTAAACCCCAAACCCCAAACCCCAAACCCTAAACCCTCAACCCTCCCGTAGAGACCGTATAAGCGCTTTACCCCCGGTGCCCAAAAGGCCCTTGGACCCCTGCATAAACTCCTCCCTATTGCAAGTATTATAAAACCCCCGGGGCCGTCTAAAACGGAGCCAACGCACGGTCAAGCCATAAGCGTAAATCCACAACCCTAAACATCCCAAAACCTAAAACCCAAAACTCAAAACCCAAAACCCAAAACCCAAAACTCAAAACCCAAAACCCTAAACCCTTAAGCCGTATGGCCTCCTTGTGGCGCCACGGCGGGCGGCTGGGACGCCGCCTCGGCGCGCTTCCGCGCCTCACGGAGGGCCGTGGCTCAGAGGTTCATGAAGGGGGTTTAGGCCGAAGAATTACATTAGGATTTTTTGTTTTTGGATTTTTGTTTTTTTTGCATTCTACTACTACTATTTAGGGCTTAGGGTTTAGGGTTTAGGGTTCATGGGTCGATGGGTTTAGGGGTTGAGGGCTACTGGGTCTTCGGAGGTTTCTATGGGTCGATGTGTTCTGGGTTTAGGGTTACTGGGTCTAGGACAAGAAGCCCTCAACACCCTTAGGGTCTAGGGCTAGGGTTAAGCATTCAGGGTTTAGGGTTTAGGGAACCCTAAACCCCCAAGATGCGCCGTGCTAGCACTTCGCTAGCACCCTGAACCCTAAAGCCTACAAACCCTCAACACCCTAAATCCTTCAACCCTGAGCCAAACCCTGAACCCTAAACAACCTGAATCTTAAACCCTCAAACCACATCGTGAACACCCTGAACCCTGAACCCTAAACTCTCAAATCCCCTAAACTCCCCAAATCGGTTATCCTGAGATTTCCGGCTCCACCCCGGCCTCGGCCAACGCTCGCATCTTCTCGCGTAAGGCCTGCAGCGTGAGCAGGGTTCAACATCCCTGGTTGCCCATTTTTTGGGTTTATAGACTAAATAAGGTTTAGTTTAATTATAAGTTCTAATCCCCGCGAAATTTAATAATAATATATTTGTTATTCTTAACAACTAATAACAATACATTTACAGAAGCCTCAAATTCTATGGGTTGCGAGAAGGGCTTTGACAAATTCTGCGCGCCCCCCCCCCCCCCCCCCCCAAGAAAGAAAAAGATAAACGACTACATCCAAGAGTAGCTATAGCTTCCCTATACTACAACCCAACCTCTAACTCTCCAGAAACCTCGCAGCCACCTAAACCCTAAACCCTGAACCCTGAACCCTAAACCCTAAACCCTAAACCCTAAACCCGAATTTCAACGGATGGTACCCCATCCTTGTTTGTGCCCACTCCGCCCCTGTGAGCACAGCAGGAAAGCGCCACACTCAACAGAGGGGACGCGCAGGCCTCAAGGGCAGCCTGCATGTTCTGTTCACGCCTAAACCCTCAACCCTAAACCTTAAACCCTAAACCCTAAACCCTGTGTCCGCCGGACCTGTCTCTCCTCCTCACGAGATGCGGGTGGCGCTGGCTCCGGCGGTGGCAGTGTCGGAGGCTCAGTGGGGGGAGCCTGGTCTCCGAAGGTTGGGGTTTAGGGTTTAGGGTTTAGGGTTTAGGGTTTAGGGTTTAGGGTTTAGGGTTTAGGGTTTAGGGTTTAGGGTTTAGGGTTTAGGGTTTAAGGTCTAGGGTCTAGGGTCTAGGGTCAAAGGTCTAGGGTTTCGGGTTTAAATTTTGGGCTTAGGGCTGCTCTCAAGTACCAGTTCGCAGGCATTTCAGAGCCTACCCTAAACCCTAAACCCTAAACCCTAAACCGGCACTTCCAGAGCTCCTGGCAGCAAAACAGGCGAAACAGCGGCTTGCCAAAACATGGACATACCTGCTTTGGGATGTTCCACCTTAGACTAACCGTCCTGAATAGGGATTGTCATAGGGGGTACTAGAGTCCCTCTTAAGGACTGTTAGTATAGGGGGCAACATCCCAATACCTGCTGCCAAGAAAGCTGGAAGTGAAGCGGTGGATGCTTGCGCTGGCGTGACGGCTGCGATGTCCGGCTGGTCTCGCTGACCTCACGCACACCCACACACTGCAAGTGTGCTTCCGGGTGTGCTGACCTAAGAACCCCCCCCCCAAAAAAAAAATGAATCATCCCCATATGTTGCCGTTATAAGGAAGAAGAATATTTCTCATCTTTAGGGGGGTTCTTGAGCAAATGATGGTGACTCTGCCTAGGTCTACGCTCTGACCAATCGCAACTCTCCATGTATGGTGAGGCAGAAGGGGCCCTCGCAGCCGCACAGAGTCTGAGGTCGCCCAGCAACCCGAATACTTAGTTGTCCATTAACCTGGGGGAAGTCAAGGTTAACCTTTGGGAATATAAGGGGATTATAGTAACCCAAAGAAAGGTTAGAGGTTACCTACTAACTAGGAATAAGATAGGGTCGCCATGGCTAGGTCGTTCATGAATGGAAGTGGTTTGAGGGTTGCCGGTCGAAGCGATCAAAGGAGAACAAATCACTGCCAATATCTTCTAGCGGAACCGTCAAGGACAACAAGCTTGTCACATTAAACCCTAAACTCTAAACCCTAAACCCTGAACCCTAAACCCTAAACTCTAAACCCTAAACCTGACTACAGCACTTCCGGGAGATCATGGGCCTTGTTGCTGTACTTGCGCTGCGCGCACGAATTCGCTGAGGACATCCACAGAACCGCTGCCCCTGGCCTCAACATTTAGGGGTTAGGCTTAGGGTATTAGGTTTAGGGTTTAGGGTAGGCTTTAGGGTTTAGGGTTTAGGCTTTAGGGTTTTAGGGTTGAGGGGTGCAACTCGGCAGCTATGGGCAGGACACTGATGGGGCCCGACAGAGCAAGTTCAGCGGGTCGAAGCTGAGATCCCGGCGCCACACTTTCCCAACAGACAACCACTCTGAACCCTGAACCCTGAACCCTGAACCCTGAACCCTAAACCCTAAACCCTAAACCCTAAACCCTAAACCCCTAAACCCTGAACACCCTAAACCCTAAACCCTAAACCCCCGAAGCAAGCTCCGCCATACTCTCCCAATTGACCTTTTTGTACCTCCAGAACGACCCTATGGCTGGCCAAGGCCCGCCTCTTGCCCGGGGTAAGGCGCGGCGCCCTGTTGCGCCAATTCTGCTGTCCTTGACAGAGAAGTTTGGACTTCTGAACTGCGGATTTGCTCCCGGTTCGTCCGGAGTCACTGACCACGAAGGTCTCTCTCATGGCATATAGGGGCACAATGCAATACCTAGTCTTCAGGGTGCAGGAACTGGAATTAACTCCCAGACAACACCAGACCATAGCAAAGTCACATTGCCAAAGCATCCGAGTTGCAACAATGGTAACAATAATCACCAGAAGAAAGAGTGATGCAAGTATTGAGGGCCCTTACAACTCTATGCATAACCAGGGGGACCCTCCTTGTAAGCAGCCTCGAACAAAACCCTGAACCTTCTCAGCCCAAGAAGTGTGGGCCGCTTAGTAGCCCAGTAACCCCTAAACCCTAAACCCTAAACCCTAAACCAGATTATAGTAAGGGCACCCTTTCTTGGGTTGATTACTTTATAGAGGAACCTTGAACACAAAAAAATTGGGAAAATGGTACCACTGGGCTACCAAGGCCATGTAGCCGGAAGAACGATTGTGGATCGAAGCTTCGGGGAGCGGACGCCTCGCCACACTTCGGGCTTCGGATTTGGGCTTAGGGTAGAGGGTATAGGGTTTAGGGTTTAGGGGGGCATTTAAGACTTCTGAGTTTCGGGTTTTGGGGTCTACGATTCTGATGCGCACCAAAGTGCGCAAGCTGAGAAAGGCCCCGTACCCTAACCCCTGCACCCGAAATCTCGGCTCAGCTGGGCTCAGGTTCCAGTTCGTTTTCGGGATGCCCGCTATGTCGATACGTGGGGCTTCATGAGTAGTTCTAAGTAGGGTAAACATAATCAAAGACAGAGCCTTATGTGGAGTATTCAGTACTAATTTTTCTACGAGTGCCAATGGAACTCCACGTGGCAGCCCTTTTATACCAGGGAAAAAAACTGTGTGACTAACCAACCCTAGACCCAAGAGCAGCCTACGACCTAGACGTAAAAAGGGTGCCCTTTTTTTGTTTAACGGAGCCTCTCAGGGAACCTAAACCCTATAAAAGGGAATAAGGGCCTACTCTGGGTCCTCGAACCCTAAACTTCTCACTCCCAGCATAGCTCAGGCCAGGCTCGCCCCTGTTCACCTACAGTTTGGGAGTGCTCTATACCCTGCAATCGGGGGTTTCGACGGTTGCTCTAAGATAAGTGGTCGGGTTGTAGGGCCTACAAGGAACGGGGGGTGTAGAGTTGCGGGACTCACAACAAAGATAAAAGTCCCTATACCCCAGTTTAGGGTCTATATGAGTCTACTTATAACTAGGGGGGCCAGTATAGGGTATAGGTCTATATGAGTCTACTTATAACTCGAGGGGCTTGTTTTGGGTCTATGGCCCCCCAATTCTAGGGTTCAGTGGTCCCCAAGGAAGCGCCTCAGACTGACCCAACATGGCCGGCGGAGCTGAAGGGGGCGGAACAGCGGGGGCCATGGGCCCCTGCAGCGTCAGGTCTAACCCCGAAGAACGAAACCCGAAATCACCCCTACAAGAACCCCCCCTGCCCCCCCCGAGTTGTAAGTAGAGTGCTAAGGACCCGAACTTGGGCTGAGGATCCGATTTTACTTAACAAGTCCCTTAACTATAGTTCCTCCCTGTATGCTTCCCTACCCTCGCTGGGGTTTGGAGGCGGGAGGGGGGTGGGGCCCTAAACCCTAAACCCTAAACCCTAAACCCCAAACCGGAAGGCGGGCCCGGAGCTGCTGAAGCAGCGCACGCCCATCCAGTGGCGCAGGCGGTTGCAGCCTGCAAGGGTTTGGGGGCTTGGGGTTTGGGGTCGGGGTTTGGGGTTTGGGGTTTAGGGTTCAGGGTCTAGGGCTTGGGTTTAGGGCTTGGGGTTTAGGGTTTAGGGTTTAGGGTTTGGGGTTTGGGGTTTGGGGTTCCTTAAGGACCGAATGAACCTTAAAAGGGTTTATGGTTCATAATGTTTTTATAGGGATTATAGTAGTGTAGGGTATATGCCCCCTATGTTAGGGTTCATTTGGTCCCTAGGGTTTGGGGTTTGGGGTCGGCTTCAATCGCACGAGCAGGCAAGGACTAGAATTTAGGGTTTCAGGCTTGGGATTTAGGGTCTCTGTTAGGTTAAGGCGGACTTCAAAGGGGGGGGGGGGGGGCTTGGGCGCTTCATGAGACTGCACAGCCTCATGATGACTGCTGCGAGTCAACCCGACTCTCTTCCGCTTAAGGCAACATACACATTCTCGCTCCCCGAAGTTCTCAAACCCCCCTTAACTTTCAACCCTTTTAAGAAAACCCTTGCCCTCAAGACCTTAACCCCCTCTGAAAACCAAAGCAAGGGGCTGTTGCAGCAATGCTCGGCCATCTAGGCCAGGACCAGGGCCAGTGAAGGGTGGAAGGGACCCTGACTCCGGCGGCGGGGTGGTGCCAAACCTCTTGCTGTGAGCTTCGGGCCTGCTTTGCTTATGAGCCTCACACAAGAAGGGGCCCCCTTAGCTACAAGTAGAAAAAGAAGGATCCTAAACTGGGTTATAAGGATCCTATCTTGGGTTATAAGTCCCCTATAATTATAGTTAGCATAGTAATTAAGGGGGGGGGGGGGGGCCTCCTTGTAATTAGGTGCTTGTTTGCTGGGGCAGGATGTGGTCTTGAGGATAAGGATTTGGGCGTTTCGGGACAGGACCAGCCTTCTACCAGAAAGTTAACCCCCCCTAAGCGCCCCTAAAAACCAGAGCAAGGGGCTGTTGCAGCAATGCTCGGCCATCTAGGCCAGGGCCAGGGCCAGTGAAGAGTGGAAGGGACCCTGACTCCGGCGGCGGGGTGGTGCCCAACCTCTTGCTGTCAGCTTCGGGCCTGCGTTATCTTGGGGCCTGAATAATTAAAATAGGGTTTGGGGGGTGATCATAGTCTAATTACAAAGGGACCATAAGGGAATACTAGTAGTAATTACTCCGAGCCCTATAATCGCCTATGGGCCTCAGAGGATCCTAGGTGATTGTTTGCCCGCCCGGTGGGGGCCCAGATGGGGCCATGAGGATAAGGATTAATTATGGGGTTTTGAATTTGTGTTGCCTTTGCCAAACCAGGCCTACAGACGTTACATGCAGAGTTAGGCTCAGGGTGACGGAGGGCTCATAGGACATACAGTATGCGCACAGATTTTCGAGCCCTAGAATTCCAAACCCTAGCCCTAAGCCCTAAGCCCTAAGCCCTAAGCCCTAAGCCCTAAGCCCTAAGCCCTAAGCCCTAAGCCCTAAGCCCTAAGCCCTAAGCCCTAAGCCCTAAGCCCTAAGCCCTAAGCCCTAAGCCCTAAGCCCTAAGCCCTAAGCCTACTACAAGGAAGGGCCATCCCTAGTTAGCGTTGGAATGGACCCCAGATTGGGCATTTACAAGTGAAGGCAACTTCGGCGATCGTCTGATCGTCTACGTCCCTTTGCTACAGTTAGTATAGTAAACGGGGCCGCTCCCTACATCCGAAAGCCCGGAACCCTAAAACCCTAAAACCCTAAAACCCTAAAACCCTAAAACCCTAAAACCCTAAAACCCTAAAACCCTAAAACCCTAAAACCCTAAAACCCTAAAACCCTTAAAACCCTAAAACCCTAAAACCCTAAAACCCTAAAACCCTAAAACCCTAAAACCCTAAAACCCTAAAACCCTAAAACCCTTAAAACCCTAAAACCCTAAAACCCTAAAACCCTAAAACCCTAAAACCCTAAACCCTAAAACCCTAAAACCCTAAACCCTAAAACCCTAAAACCCTAAACCCTAAAACCCTTTTAGTCCTCGAGCCCCTGTTCCAAGAAACATCTGCAAAATGCAGCGGCCATCCAGCTGAGGCTGTTGAGGCGGCTGTGCGGCCCCCCTCTTCCTCAAATGCCGTACTTGTAGGTTTAGGGTTTAGGGTTTAGGGTTTAGGGTTTAGGGTTTAGGGTTTAGGGTTTAGGAGCCACCCTGCAGCCCCCAGATGCGGTTTCAGGCTTAAGAGGTGCCCGGAGCACTCGAAGGAATGCTTGCCACAGCCCCCCCCTCTGCTCTACAAGATTTGCCGGGCCTTGTGTTGAGTCATAGCCTGCTGCCCCCACCCCCCCCCCCCCCCCCCCCCCAACCCCCACCCCGGCCCCGCTCTCCCCGTTTAGGGTTTAGGGTTGAGGGTTTAGGGCTTAGGGTCACCCTGTTCGTGTGGGGTGCTGAACCCTGAACCCTAAACCCTCGCAATCGCATATAGACACATGTATATAAATATCTGCATACATGTGTATATATATATATATATTATGTATATATGTCTGTATGTATGTATGTATGTATGCATGTATGTATGTATGTGATCTATCTATCGATCGATATATATATATATACATATTTATTTATTTATATTTATTTATTTATTTCAATTAATTATACATATATACATATTTCTGGTCACACCCCCCCCCCCATGATCCATATGTATCCTTTTCTTGCTTGTCCTTCTGCACCTGTGCTTATTTGCACATATGGTTGATGTGAAAAAACACCGGTATTTACGATACTTTCGTGTCTTGCCATGTCTGAAGCTACAACTTGCTTTTGATTATCTACACTTTTAAACAACAGAAATCTACAAACAGAATCCGTTTCTGGATTTGGTTTTGTGTGGTTTGCTAATCTCTGTTATTCACTCTATAGTAGCTTCCAATATACACCTTCTTGAACTTCAACAATATTCATTGATTAGATAAATATTACCTTATAAACCATTGTATAATGCATGAACATAAAAGAAGAGATGAAGGGGTTTCAAATAAAGCACCTAGCACAAGAAGCAGACTACATAATGAAGTTAGAGACGAATTCGCAAAGACAGAGACATTCTTAACGGACACGCAAGGACTTAAATTAGCGTATGAGAATCCTGACGGGATATATCAAAAATTGTTCTATTTTATACATTGCTGGGACTAAAAGCTGTAGAGATGTTTATGGTGATTGAAACCTTCCTTTATATAAGACGCAACTGACTCAGTGTTATAAAGATGTAGATAAGTTCATTCAAGATGGTTTTATTGAAATAGACGGTTAAAGAAAAGAAGAAACTGGAATTTCTGGTATTGTAAGTCACAGTTTAGGTTCAGCATCGGAACAACAAATAAACAATGATTATGGGAATGTATTCAGAAGTCGTAGCTGTGGTTCTCCTTATGTATCAGGACAACGACCAGAAGACACTGGGACAAAACATATGAATACGGAAAGTAGAAGACCCCGTTAGTATGTTTGAAAAAGGAAGTATAACATCAAAGAAATCAACATTAGACCCTCTACAAAAACATCCTTATGAAGATATAGGCAATATTAAAAACACAGCAGGACATCTACCTATAACCGAAGAAGAGTTTTTAACAACAGTTTGATGCCATAATCATTTCATAAGAAAGCAACAACATACGAACAAATAGAGACATCGAAGATAGAGAAGCAATTTAAACAACATGCTTACGAAGAGATAAGAAAGTTAGTTGAGAAAAATTCAGTAGATGAAGCAGTTAAGCAGGTGAAAGGTAGGAAGAAGAATAATAGTAAGACACTTCATATAGTTTTGAATTACTTGATTGAATACAAGTTGAAGGTATGTATCTGTAATCAAATTATCTATGCTATTTATATATCATGGAAACTTTTAGTCCCGCAGATATCCTCATTGATAGTTTAAGTTTTCTTTGACACAAAGGTAGTTCTTATGTTAATTGTCAAGGGTTTAAGACCGAAACGATTGTTGGATATAAATGTGGCCTCTTCTCACAAGTTAGATATTTGCCGTCAAAAAATATGGGGAACTTACCAATTGAAATAGAATTGGTAACTGTTGCTACAAAATTGTATCAATTACCGCAGTCAGAATATCAAGAGATTTCGGGAAAACTCGAGCCGGCTCGAATTTTCCGAAAAATCTCCAGGCACCAGGCCACCACAACCCGAGCAGGCTCGAATTTTCCAAAAAAAATCTACATTCTGTCATCTATGAGACCTTGGGGTCACACAGCCATGGTTTCAGCATATTTTTTAGAAAATTCGACCCGGCTCGAATTCTCCGAAAATTCTTGAAGCTCCAGGTCTCGAAAACTCGAGCAGGCTCGAATTTTCCAAAAAAAGCCTAAATTATGTCATCTATGAGGCTTTGGGGTCACACAGCTATGGTTTCAGCCATTTTTTTTTAGAAAACTCGAGCCGGCTCGAATTTTCCGAGAATTCTTGAAGCTCCAGGTCTCGAAAACTCGAGCAGGCTCGAATTTTCCAAAAAAAACCTAACTTTCAGGATCTACCGGGCTGCTGGAGCCATAGATCCTGAAATTTAGGTATTTTTTGGAAAATTCGAGCCTGCTCGTGTTTGGGCGACCTACTGTGTCAGTTTTCTTTTGGAAAATTCGAGCCGGCTCGAATTTTCCTAAAATTCTTGAAGCTTTAGGTCCCAGAAACTCGAGCAGGCTCGAATTTTCCAAAAAAAACCTAACTTTCAGGATCTACCGGGCTGCTGGAGCCATAGATCCTGAAATTTAGGTTTTTTTTGGAAAATTCGAGCCTGCTCGTGTTTGGGCGACCTACTGTGTCAGTTTTTTTTGGAAAATTCGAGCCGGCTCGAATTTTCCTAAAGTTCTTGAAGCTTTAGGTCCCAGAAACTCGAGCAGGCTCGAATTTTCCCAAAAAAACCTAACTTTCAGGATCTACCGGACTGCTGGAGCCATAGATCCTGAAATTTAGGTTTTTTTTTGAAAATTCGAGCCTGGTCGTGTTTCGGCAATCTACTGTGTCAGTTTTTTTTGGAAAATTCGAGCCGGCTCGAATTTTCCTAAAATTCTTGAAGCTTTAGGTCCCAGAAACTCGAGCAGGCTCGAATTTTCCAAAAAAACCTAACTTTCAGGATCTACCGGGCTGCTGGAGCCATAGATCCTGAAATTTAGGTTTTTGTTGGAAAATTCGAGCCTGCTCGTGTTTGGGTGACCTACTGTGTCAGTTTTTTTTGGAAAATTCGAGCCGGCTCGAGTTTTCTAAAAAAAGCATGATTTTTTCTGGTATTTTTCTACCTTGTTGGTGTAAATGACCTGCCTGACTTGAAATGATATAGGTTTTTATCGGCCCTGTCGGTGTTTTTGTCGCTAGCTCATAGCCCCCTCTCCTCCCAAGATCCATCTGTTTCGAAGCAGAAACGTGGATCATGGGGGGGGGCGTGAGCATATTTCTTTATTCATAAGGGGGACCCTAATTCAGAACAACCTCCGTGTCTCCCAGGCCCATGCCCTGATTGCCCTAAGCCCAGTGAAGGCACAGCTGGCTCAGGAGATCGCCGCCAGCAGTGCTTGCTGCTGCTCCCTGGTTTCAAGGTTTAGGGTTTAGGGTCTAGGGTCTAGGGTTTAGGGTTTAGGGTTTCAAGGTGGGGTTGGGGGGTTGGGGTCTGGGGTTTGGGGGTTTGGGGTTTGGGGGCTGGGGGGGTTTGGGGTTTAGGGTAGAAAAGCTTCACAACTTGTGGGAACATATTCTGCGTCCCAGAGGGAAAAAACCGGGCACACGACATATCTGTTGGGACGAACATAGTTGGAGGTCAACTCTTCGTTTTAGATTGAGGACTCCAAATGTCCCGTATACATAATTAGAAAGCGTATAACGCCATAAGTTCCATTCTGTTCACAATGTGCATGACATCACGTTTTAACGCTAAAAAATATAAATAAAAATTATGAATATTTCTTGAATATGTATATATATATATATATATACATATATATATATATATAGCCTCATGCAGAAAACAAGCAAAAGACCCCATATTATCATGGTTAGAACTAGTTGTTTCTACGTACCGGTTGTTCCAGTAGCTGTTCTTCATTATCTTCCAATATTGCCGGGCATTCAGAACAAGTGCAACTCTAAAACCATCATTGACCTTCAACAATGCCAACCAAGGGCTCCGAGCTATTTACAGGGTTTAGGGTTTAGGGTTTAGGGTTTAGGGTTTAGGGGTGTAGCTTTGGGGTGAGCTTCCAAAACTCTCGACTGTCTTCAATGGCAGAAGTTTTGCCAAGACGTCCAAAGCAACTTCCGATGAGATATCAATTAGAGCTCTATTATTTTCACTCTTTCCGCTTTCCACTTTGTCTGCGGCCCATGCCTGTACGCTTTCCGCAACTCTTCCATGTACCCCTGCCCCCCCCCCCCCCCCCCCTTCCCCAAAATGAAGTGAACAGTGGCCACAAGGACGTGTTTGCTTTGTAGTTTGTATCTCTTGAAGGACTGTGGTTTGTCGTGCGGGGGGGAAGCACATGTGAAATTCTCCCATGGCAATGTAATCTGTGATTTCGTTGGCACATCTCATATTTGTATAGTGGCAGAGGGGGGGATTCCTAAACCCAAACCCTAACCATTTTGATCATTGGGTTCCGGACAATTTGGCCAGATCAATGCAGTGAGATACAACATGACACAGAGTCTTCAGAGATAACAACCGTCCGCCCTAGACCCTTCTGCAACCCTAAACTCTAAACCCTAAACCCTGTCGGCCTCCGGCCACCAGCCGGCCCCTTGCATGGGGATGAAAGGCAGAGGCGCGCCACGCTGGGCCTCCAGGCGTTCCAGCTCCTGGTGGATGTCTGGTGTTTACGGGTTTAGGGTTTAGGGTTTAGGGTTTCGGGTTAGGAGGGGCCCCCTTACTATACCAACTATAGTTAAGGGACTTGTAACCTAAGTTAGGATCCTTACAACCCAATTTCGGGCTCTTATACATCTATTTATAACTAGGGGGGGGGGGGGGGGGCCCTCCTTGTAGTCGCTCACTCTCGCACAAGGCAGGCAAGGTCCGTTGGTCTGTGTAAGCTCTAAAGCGACGGAAGCTCATGTCAAGCAGTCGTATGGGCCCAAAGGAAAAGACACAGGTCTGGTGTTTAGGGACTAGGGCCTCTAGGGTTTAGGGAGTGTGGTTTTAGGTCTTTTTAGGGTTTTGGGGTTTGATGGTGCGGGGCTTAGGGTTCAGGCTTTAGGGTTTTAGTAGGGTTGCAGGGTTTTAGGGGTTTAGTAGGGTTCCTCCACCCTAGATGAGCATAAATCTGCAAAGCTGAAGCCCAAACACCCCAAAGCCTTAGAAAACAAACAAGAACCACTGCAGACCAAATACATTCCTTACAAGTATATATATATATATACATATATACGCACACACACACATACATACATAAATAGGAAAACAAATATATACATATATATATATATATAAATATGTGTATATGTATCTGTATGTCTGTCTGTGCATGTGTGTCTATGCATTTTAAAATTCCAAGTGTGCAGGCACCGGCAGCCCCCTTCCGCCGCCTTGAGGGCTGCAAGCTTCCTGGCCTCCTCGGGGAAGGGGGAGTTCACTCGGAGTTCACCCTAAACCCGAAACCCTAAACCCAAAACCCGAAACCCTCAACCCTAAACCCTACACCTAAACCTCTTTTTTTGCGAGGTTGTTAAGGGTTTTTAAGGTTAAGGGAAGGTTTGGGGCGCTTAAGAGCCTGTGGGGCGGGAAGTCATCCGGTTGATTTGGGGAGTCTGCCCCTTTTTCCGAGCGGGTCTGTGTACCCCCTAAACCCTTAGACACTCTATAGGAAGTGCCAAGAAGTACGAGCACAGTGGCTGGTTGTCAATGAACAAGCTGGGAAAAGCTGCACATTTGTTAATGGGGCTTAGAGCCGAACACAACTGGCAACCTCGGCCATTACAAATCTGGCCAAGCACACGCTCATTTCAGTCGTGGGGTCATGGGCGGTAGTAGCCCAGAAGTTCTACCAATCCAGATCAGACCAGACCCCTGCATTTTGCTGGGAGTACTTCTGGGGGGGGGGGGGGGGGGGGGGGGGACGGGAATTCGCAGGGAGACGCTTCCGGTTAGGTTGTGTAGGATTCTGTGCACAGGATGCAGAAGGAAAAGCCTTACCCCCCCTACTTGAAGGTTCATGGGGACTCCTAGGCAGGGTTGTGAGTCGGGTAAGTATAGCTGCAACTGGCTTTCACTGTCATATATATATATATGTATATATATATATGTATATGTATATACATATAGCTACCCACGAACCTCCAAGTAGAACGCAAAAACCCTAGCCTCTTGAATCCGAAAAAACATGGAAACCCAAAGCCCTGGCCCCTAAAACCCAAAAAACTAAACCCAACAACCCTAGCCCTAAGGGTCCATGTACCTAAATAGGGAAAACTTGGGCCTTCAAGGTACTTGCTGTATACGTAGTTTGCGGCCCAAGTATATCATAATTAGGTACATGGACCCTTAGCTCTCTAAACCCTAAACCCTAAACCCTGAACCCTGAACCCTAAACCCCGAAAGCTCCTTGTAGTCGCTCCAACCCTTTTGGATGCTAATCGCAGCTTGCCGCTGGCGCTGGCGCAGCGTAATCTCGCCTTGGATTCTGTAAGGATGCATGGGGTGTAGGGTTTAGGGTTTAGGGTTTGGGGTTTGGGGTTTGGGGTTTGGGGTTTGGGGTTTCTGTTTTGGGTTAAGTTTCGCATTTAGGGTTTCTGTTTGGGCTTAGGCTTCTGGCCAGGCTGGGCTTGGTCAGAAAAAGGACCCAAGCTACCCCCAAAGAACATTTACAAAACCTCATACAGAGCAAGGCCCCTGGCTCCCCCAAGCCGCACAGCAAGCACGGGCTACACCCAGCAACCCGGAAGGAATTACATGCCCTCGTACTACCTTTAGAATCCTTAAATAAGAGTCCCCAAAACCCAAAGGAATAAAAAAACACGGGTCCAAGGTAGAATCCGATGATGTGATGAAACTTGAAACCTCAAGTCCCTATGGGCCTTGCTGGCAGCCAGGCCTCTTGTCAAGCACCCCTAAGCCCCAAAACCCTAAGCCCCAAAACCCAAACTCTTCAGTCCCAAAACCCTTAAACCCTACAGCCCTAAAACCCGAAAACCCTAAACCCCTTTTTCCCTTAAAACCCTAACACCCTCAGCCCTAAAACCCCAAACCCTAAAGCCCTAAACTCCAAACCCTAAACCCTAACCGAAAACCCTAAACCCTAAACCGCAGCGAACATTCCTGGTTGCACCCTGGATCGCGGATTTGCTCCGCGACGGCGCCCATTTCGTAGAGCAGCCTCATTGGGGGGGGGGGGGGGGATTTTGGGGCTTATGACGGGGCTTTTCGGGTTTGGGGTTTGGGGTTTAGGGCTTAGGGCTAGCTCCTGCCTAGCAGCCCCACACCACACACCACCACAAGTTAAGAATAATGGGTGACCTTCCGGAGGGCCTCGCCGAGCTGCATAGCTCAAGCCACTTAAGGGCTTAGGGTTAGGGTTTAGGGTTTAGGGTTTAGGGTTTAGGGTTTAGGGTTTAGGGTTTAGGGTTTAGGGTTTAGGTTTTAGGGTTTAGGTTTTAGGGTTTAGGGCTTGGGGTTTATGGTTTAGGGTTTAGGGCTTAGGGTTTAGGGTTGTCTCAGGTCCGATCAAGCCGCAGTGACCAACAGTAAATCAGGCACCGCTGTGCTCAATGGAAAGACCTTGCTGCGGCTATGTACTCTGACAACCTTTCAAGGCGGGAGCTGAGAGGCTTTTAACCTAAGATAGGATGCTTCTAGCCCTATTTAGGCTGAAAACTCTGCTTATACCTAGGGGAGGCGGGTGGGGGGGGGTTCTTGTACCTCACACTACACCCTAGGATTCAGATGGATCCAAGAGATCCCGAATAGCCCAAAAAACCCACCGAAGCAAATTGGAAGAACAGGTTTAGGGTTTAGGGTTTAGGGTTGCATAGACCCAGGCTTGTGTCATACATCATAGTTTGCACAGCACCGAGGGCACGAGTTCACGCTGCATCACCAGCTAACTCATTGATGCCACTTGATAAGCCGGCACTACAATTACGGGTACAGATGCGGGAACTCTCCAGTTTTGGTGTGACATCTTGCAGTGTCCAGGGGTTTTAGGAGCGAAGCCCTGAGTAGCCCTAAACCCTACACCCTAAACCCTCAAACCTGCCTCACGCCACAGTGGTCGAAGCCTCCAGTGGCCTCGATGTTCTGGGTGGCAAAGGCCTCGGAAACAGGGTTTAGGGTTTATAAGGGTTAAGGGTTAAGGGTTTAGGGTTTACGGTTTATTCAAATTGCGTAAGCCCTGAGGCCTAAGCAGCCCTCTTTGCTCCGGCTTATAAGGTTTAGGGTTTTGGGGCGCGCACTTTCTGGGTATGCCCTAGGCCCTAAACCCGCAGCAGGAGAAACTCAGCAGCTGGCCAGCTGCCAAAGCAAGGTTCGGAGGCTGCCAACGTCCTCCAACAGCCAGGTTTTAAGAGCATCGGACAGGTTTGCGTTGCTTTTCCGGAACCCAAAAACCCTATTATAGGCTCCCTAGTTGGAGGCAAAGCTAACTTAGGCTATAAGTTCCTTAACTATAGTTCGTATATAGTAAGGGGGCCCCTCCTTGTAGGCACTGGGTACATGGGCCTTAGGGCAAGACAATGGCAAGGGTTTAGGGTTTAGGGTTAAAGGTTTAGGGTTTAGGGTTTAGGGCTTGGTTTGTTGTTCGGTCTTTGCTTTAGGAGGACTTGCCATATTCAAGTCCCGTATGCCAATCGTTACCCGAGGGTTTAAGTGCTGCGAGGCCCAACCATGACGGGTGTAAGGGGTTTAGGGTTGGGGTTTAGTTGAGGTTTAGGGTTTAGGGTTTAGGGTTTAGGGTTTAGGGTTTAGGGTTTAGGGTTTAGGGTTTAGGGTTTAGGGTTTAGGGTTTAGGGTTTAGGGTTTAGGGTTTAGGGTTTAGGGTTTAGTTGGGGTTTCGGGTTGGGGTTAAACGGTTTGAAGGTTTAGGGATTGAGGTTTAAGGTTTAGGGTTTGGGGCTCAGTCGCTCACACTCGGACAAGCCAGGCGAGGCACACGCGGTCCGAAGTCTCTCGCTTGAGCCCGATGAGGGTTTAGGGTTTAGGGTTTAGAGTTTAGGTTTCAGGAAACCTGGATTTGTGCTGGAAGGCTCTTGTGGGGTTGAAGGCATCAGTCCTTGCAGGTGGCGACATCGGAAGCCTGGACGCCAGCAGCGTCTCCTCTTGCCTTGCCACCCGAAACCTCCGTCTCGAAACAAGACCACAATGCCCACAAGCTTGTACAAGAAGAAGCCCCCCCCCCCCCCCGAGCTGTAAGTAGAGGGCCCTACATGGGCTAAACGGATCCAATCTGAGGTTATAAGACCCTGAACTATAGTTAGTATAGCTAGGGGGCACTTCCTTGTACAGCAAGTGCAGTGTGCTTTTTCGGGCCCAAGAGCCTCAAAATCCGTCTCTTTGGAATCTTGCAGCGGGCAGTTTGAACGATCTGATGTCTGTTGGGATGTTCCCCCTTATACTGACAGTTTTGAACCCAGACTGGACTGTGACTTGCTCCCTACACCCTAAACCCTAAACCCTAAACCCTAAACCCTAAACCCTAACGAAAGTCTCCAGTATCATGCGTGGACAGCGTGACAGGCCTTAGAACGCTATTCGCCAGTGTCCAGCCCAACCGGCACCACTCGAGGGCTAACCCTACATATCCGACTCTGGGTTTCGTTGCTTCGGGTTTTAGTGTTCAGGGGCTTGGGATTTAGGGTACTCTAGGTTTCGCTGTTTAAGGTTTTAGGGCTTAGGGTTCAGGGGGTTGGAGTTCAGGTTTTCCACTTAGAACCTTGCTTCTCAAGCGGGCTTCTTGACTCGCTAGACGGCAACTGAGCCTACCGTGGGGCACAGCTCGCGCCTTGTCTTTTCTTTTGGTCATCATCTTTGTCGCCTCTGCCAGAAGAGCCCTAAACCTTAAACCCTAAACCCTAAACCCTAATCAAACCCTAAACCCTAAACCCTAATCAAACCCTAAACCCTAAACCATGAGGTATTAGGGTCTTATTCTAATTCGAGGGATGTTCCTTCATGAAGGGGTTTTGGAGTCCCTGGGTTGCGCGGAGTCAATCTGGTAGGCGCTCAATAGCACTTCGTTCTGGTATATATTGCTTAGTCATGCAAATCTGGTCAAGTTTGTCCATCTTTAGGGTTTGGGGTTTAGGGTTTGGGGTTTGGGGTTTAGGGTTTAGGGTTTAGGGTTTGTCCATCAACAATAAGGTTTCTCTCCTGCAGGTGCTCTCAAACTTGTCTGCGGAAGATAGGTCCCCACTTGGAGAAGATACTTTGAGTCTAATGACATAATGTTTCTCGTCCTCAATGATTCGACGACCGAGATATCGACAGACCGGAAAGATCATACGAATAAACAAGTCAGGAACCAGATCGAATTTTTGGGATCCCACCAGTTTGCTAATTTTATCAAATGATTTTCATGTGTACTTTTGAATGTCCATACAGTTGGGCTCCCCAAGACAGACCAGTCACGAGAACCACCCCCTGAACCCTAAACCTTCGGTAATTAAGTGGCCTCAGTTTTCGCAGCACATCACAACTCAGAGTGAGACAGTGTAGAAGGGGCAGTCCAGGATCCCCTTTTGGTCCTGTACACAGTACGGTACCCTGAGAATAAGGAAGGACCCAAAAGGAATCACGAACCCGAGCAATTGGAAACTCTGGGCACAAGTCTAGGGTTTATAGGGTTGGAATGATGAGGCCTAAAGCCCGGACCAAAGACTAATCAATCCCAGGAGTTCCCTACGCAAACCCTGAAATCTAAAGTCTTACACTGCAAAAAACAACAAAATCAAGACAAAAAAGCTCATATCAGTTAAACCAATGCCCCCCTTAGAACCTCAGTAACATACTGTTGCGATTGTTCCCTTGGGTTTTATATACATATAAACGGACCAAAACTAATGGGGCTATAGCAACAACCCTAAACCTTAAACCCTAAACCAGGGGACCCATAAAGTTGATCTGCGCCTTCTGCCGGCCCGGCTTTAGGGGCGGCTTGGCAGGGAGCACGCACTGGACTTCTTGAACCTGCCAGGGTTTAGGGTTTAGGGTTTAGTTTAGGGTTTAGGGTTTAGGGTTTAGGGTTTAGGGTTTAGGGTTTAGGGTTTAGGGTTTAGGGTTTAGGGTTTAGGGTTTAGGGTTTAGGGTTTAGGGCGCATCTGGAACTTCCTAAACCCCTTCAGTTGCAGGAATGTGCCGGCCCGAAGATTCTGTTCAGGATCCTACTATGACTTTGAACAAATCGCGTAGTTCAGGGGGTTTGGGAGTGCTGGACGGTTTTCCTAGAGGAGTTGAAGGTTCATAGCGTTGGGCCGATGTCGGAACTCTATCTGCAAGAGGGTTGAAGGTAACTACGAAGATTTGCTTCGGGGGTCTCCGAGGATACTTGGAGGTCCAGGGTACTTATATCCCCAATTATGACTGCACTCATAAGCCCCCTAACTCCTCTAAGTGGGTTTCAAGTAGACATCTAGTTGGGATGAGAAGTACCCCTAAACCCAGGCATAGGATGCGCGTTTCGGATTTGGGGCTTATAGGGGTCCTGGGAGACTGGGGCGGGCGCGGGCGTGAGTTGGGGCTTAGGGTTTAGGGTTTAGGGTTTAGGGTCTGGTCAGCAAGTAAGAACCCCAAACATGTGTTTTGTGTATAGTTCGTTTTGGTAAAGCCCTAGTACAAGACTCTTAAGGTAAGCCCTGAAGCGCTTCAACCCCCCCCCCCCCAAAGCCGGGGTAATCTGCATGAGAACACATACCACTCCCGGAGTCTTGACATCAAATTCTGAATTCGACATTCCAGACAAACCCCATGATTTGCTTAAGAACCTCCCAAAACAAACAATACATATACATACATATATATATATATATATGACTAATACTAATAACAACATTAATAATCACATTAATGCCTGTCCTGCCCTTATTAAGAATATTCTCTTTGGGTGGTTCTTAGGCAAATAGTAGTACTCCACTCGTACGTGTTGATGGGGTCTGCGGGGGTCCTATGAGAATGCAGGGCGGGCCTTGTAGCCAAGCGCGTTCTGCTTCTCTTCCTAAGCTCGCGGAAGGTTTTAGGGCTTAGGGTGTGGGAGGCTAGGGCAGGGGGCCCCTACTTGTAGGAAGTATTATTGCGCGATGAGGGTGTCAAACTAGCTCTGGACAAAGCTTGCTTAGGTGCTTGAACAGCTCTACGATCTTGAGCTCTCTTAGATCTCAGACCCCCCCGCGATTTTAGGGTTTAGGGTTTAGGGCTAGGGTTTAGGGTCCCAGACTTCAAGACTCGGGGCACCGAGACTGCAAAACCCAACCTCACGCATCCTGGAGCCGAAGCAAACCGTGGTGCCTATGAGGGTTTAGGGCCACACCTCGAGCCTCAAACCCCCAAACACCCCAAACACCCCGAACCCTAAACCCTAAACTCCTAAACCCTAAACCCTAAACCCTGAGCCCTGCAAACCCGAACTCAGCTTACAAGAGTCATGATCTGCACCCGCGTCGAGGCCACAGGAGAACAGCCCCGGTCGGAAGCGCAGCCTCCGCCGCGCCGCGAGAGATTTACAACTTACACTTGTTGGGGTTTAGGGTTTAGGGTTTGGGGTTGAGGGTTTAGGGGTTTGCCAGGAGGGCCCCCTGGTTGTAAGTAGACTTGTAAGAGCCCTAAACCGGATTATAAGTTTTGGGTTATACGTCCCTTAAGTAAAGCTAGCAGAATACAGGGGCCTACACTTGTAGGATTAAATGTTTGCAACGATGGGTAATCTAAATTCTCTAACTCGTTGCGGGAAGTCTAGGGCATAGGGCTTCTTGGGCGAGGGGTAGGGGGGGGGGGGGGGGGCGGGGTTCTATCGATTTCGGAAATCTGCTTTTCGATTGTCCCTGGGGTCTTAGGGTTTCCTAAGCCCCAAACCCTCAACCCCATACCCTAGACCCTCAACCCAAAACCCTAAAAAAGAAGCCGCGAAGCAAGTCCGCCGCCGCGTAAACACGTTCGTCAGCCATGTCCGTCCGCAGCGAGCGACGTTTGCGAAAACAATTCCGACTGCTTGGTGCCCTCTTGGGGTTTAGGGCTTGGGGGGAAATATATAGATAAAACAAACAGCCTTTTATAAGGGAACCTATATCCTACCCTCTTAAACCCAAGAAGGGAAAATCTGTCCGAGAGATGATCCTAGATATGATCCTCTTAACCCCAATATCCTAGATAGGATCCCCCTACACGCAGCACGGGAACATATCAAATATCCCAAGGGCCTACCTAGTGACAGAGCAAGCTGGCACAGGGGCAGAGAGTGCGATTGAATGCAGTACTTGCGCAGGGCGAGATAACTTTTTGGGCGAATGCGTACATGAGTAGATGGTGACCTACCTAAAATTTAAACCCTAAACCCCTAAACCCCCAAACCCCTAAAGCCGCTAGTGCGCTGAGGCAACCAGGTGTGACATGCATTGCGCAGCATCTGGCCGCACATGCCGCGGGGCCTTGTGCCCAAGACGGCGGCTCGTCACAAGCACATGCAGGCCAAACCCTCAACCCTCAACCCTAAACCCTAAACTCTCAACCCTAAACCCTGAACCCTCAACCCTAAACCCTAAGCCCCAAACCCGAATCCCAAACCCAATCAACCTGGCTCTCCCAAGTCCTGGGCGCGAAAGCTTTCAACAGCTGGGCATAGAATCCTCTCCTTAAACACTAGGCTGAAGCCCCGAGACCTCTTAGATTCATGTGAGCTAGCACCTGGCCTTGCCTTGGGGACCGACTGAACCACAAAAGAGCTTAGGGTTCATATACCTTCATAGAGATAAAAAACAAATTGGGTAGATGACCACAATTGTAGGGTTCATTTCGTCCCCCAGGTGTTGGGGTATCTGGAAAGTACCACGTGGACCCTTGACTGGGGGGATGTCTCTGCCATGGCGGTCTCCCCAGCACATCCTGTGCCCCTAAACCCTAAACCCTGTAACTAAACCCCAAACCCTCAACCCGAAACCCGAAGCTAGGGAACCGAAAGCCACAATGATCCACATCCCCAAGCCTTAAGCCCGGAGGCGAAACACTCCGTAGGTTCAGTATGTCAGTTTGACGTCTTGCAATACTTATCGGGTTCTTAACGGAGAGGGGTTCTAAAGGGGGATATGTAACCCAAGGTTCCCTGATACTCCCGGATCCCTAGGCTTCCCGAAGGTTCCCTATAGGTACCTAACCCCCATGAACGCCCTAAACCCTAAACCCTAAACCCTAAACCCTAAACCCTAAACCCTAAACCTACCCCCCCCACTTCCCTTTCAAGGACCCGATAATGAATCTGGGTTTCCCGGACTCTTCCCTGTCGGCCATGGCTTGTGCGAGCTGCTCATGGAGCTCCTGCAGACTGCAAGGAGGGGTAGCCTTACTGTAGGGTTTAGGGGTTTGGGGTTTAGGGTTTAGGGTTTGGGGTTTGGGGTTTAGGGTTTAAGGCGGCCCCTTTACTTTAACAACTACAGCTAAGGGACTTGTGACCTAAGTTAAGCTTTGGGATGCTCCCACTTATACTAACAGTCCTTGATAGGGATTCTAGTACCCCCCCCCCCTCCATTACAATCCCTTTTAAGGACTGCTAGTATACGGGGGGACATCAGAAAGTAAGACCCTTATAACCCAACTTAGGCTCCTCATAACTCTACTTGAAACTAGGGGGGGGGGGGGGGGCTTCTTGTAAGCTGGGGCTTAAGGTGTGAGAGTTAGGTTTCAGACAATCTCTGTACAAAGATGTCACGAAATGAGGTACCACCATTTAAAGTACGAACACGAAGGTTCAAAGGGACGCCCTATAACCTTGGTAGCCCTTCAACCATATTGCAATGAGGGTACCTTGGTTGGGTTTGTTACTGTAAAGGAACCTTGGGTACCACTGGGCTACCAGCCCCAAACCCTAAATCCTTAAAACCCTAAACCTTAAAACTCTAAAAACCCTAAACCCTAAAACCCCAAACCCTAAACCCTAGGACTCCTCCACAGAGCGACTCACGTCCTGCATCCGAAGAGCTTTTTCCAGCGCCTTGGGACCGGGGGTGGGGGGTTTTAGGGTCTAGGGCTTAGGGTTTAAGTTGTTTGTTTTCAGGGTTTAGGGTTTAGGTTTTTTCTTTTAGGGTTTAGGGTCTAGGGTTTTTTGCCACCCGTCTAGCAATGCTCCACAGGGTTTAGGGTTTAGGGTTTAGGGCTTGGGGTTGGGGGATGTGCCCGAACCCTAATCCCCACCCCTGGGAGATGGTGCATCTTCGGGAAGCTTGGCAAATCCTAGGAAGCCTGAGCCCCAGAACCGTCCATCATGATGCTGTAGCTTGCTCTTTACACCCTAAACCCTAAACCCTAAACCCTAAACCCTAAACCCTAAACCCTAAACCCTAAACCCAGCCGGAGGGACGTCATCTCTTTCCTTCAAGGCGCTTGCCAGCAAGTTCCTGACATGCCACATTGCTGGGACCCCGAGTTTCTAGGGTTTAGGGTTTAGGGTTTGGGGTTTAGGGTTTAGGGCTTCAGGTTTAGGGTTTAGGGTTTTTTGTAACGCGTAGGCAATCCATATCAAAGCAAAATGCTGCTGACTAGCAAGTACGCCTATGCAGGAGGCCGCGCAACGAGGCCCTGCGAACTTGTCGAAGCGGCGTCGAGCAGCCAAATTCTGAGTATAAATCAACATAGCTCAAACCCATACCCCTTAGCCTTTAAAAGGAGAATAGATGGAAGACTCTTTTTTCATCATAGCCCTCAATTTCCTTGAAGGGCATACCCAAAGGGCATGTTGAATACCTCTTAGACAGACACAAACCACCACTTCATGTCGGGTGATGCTTTGTGAGCCAGACAAGCAAAAGAAACGAGCCCCATCCATCTAGGGCCTACTTCAATCCTGCAACCATGTCCCCAGCAACTAGTTGCTTAATTAAGAACCCCAAAAAATGAAAGATAATCATCCTTGTATTGCCCTTAGAAGCAAGCATATGTAATGATGATGATTATTATCATTATTACTATGATTATTGTTCTTCTCATCATAATTTTTTATTCTTTTCGTTTTTATGATGATGTTATGTTTTTTTTGGGGTGGGTTCTTAAGCAAATATAATATAGTAGCAAGGGTCCTCACCCAGAGATACCCACCGGCCTGAGGGCAGTGAGGTCTGATTGCTCCCGGGCCTGAAGTGGGCTGGGCTGGTTCAGGATTGAGGATGGAACGTTTGGGGTTTAGGGTTTAGGGCTTTAGGCTTTAGGGTTTAGGGTTTGGGGTTTAGGGTCCATGTGCTTCATGATTTATCTACTTGGACCCCAGAGTCCCTATATGAGAGGGGCTCTGAGGTCCAAGTGTTCCCTGTCTAGGTAAGTGGACCCTGAGAACCCTGAGAACCCTAAACCCTAAACCCTAAACCCTAAACCCTAAACCCTTTTCTGTTGCGTGCGGGATGGACCGGCCGCCAAGCTAGTCGGGGACTCGCTGTCCCTCTGGCCCCCTTTTCTAGTACAGGCAACCCTAAACGCTAAACCCAAAACCGAGTAAGCTAGGAACAAGAAGGGTACCTATAAGGGGAGCCATCTTAAAGGTGGCTGCTGTAGCTCTTCTCCTGCTGTCACGATTTGGGAGGTGCAGTGCGGCTACAGGGGTGCCAACCAAACCTGCGGCACAGCAAACATGCAGGCCTTCACATTCTCGTCGTTTCTGAACTTACTATTTGCTTCAGAACCTCCCCACGCCCCCAAAAAAGAAAAAAGGAACATGCGAAATGAGAGCGAAAGTATATGGGCACGTCCGCGAATTTTCTACTTCGCTACTTCGATTCCTCCTTTTCACCCACTTTTCACACAATTACACCCTCAACGCTCAAACCTCAACCCTACCCATGACATCTCCACGTGTAACCTGTCTCTGAGGTGCCCGGCAAGGGCCTCCTGCAACCGGTGGTCGCCCACCCCGCGTCCCGCCTTGCTAGGGCTTTTATTTGCCTAGCTAGGGTTTAGGGTTTCAGGGTTCAGGGTTCAGGGCTTAGGGTTGAGGGTTTAGGGAAGTTTAGGGTGTTTCAGACTCTCCCTCTCTAGCAGCCAAGGAAAGATGCAAGCACTGGGGGGAAACGTGCGACTCGAAATTTCTGCCAACATCTCTCCTGTCTGACCCGACCAACGACTGCCTGAATGTTCATTGGGCCGACTGAGTGGTGGTATCTAGTATTCGTGCGCACTTGTAATCAGCCGGCGGCATCATACAGCCTCTGGTTAAATTTTAAAAATTGGAATACATCCAACTACAACTCCCGTGAATCTTTGAGTGCTAGCTGCAGGCCGAGCACGGCATGTAGAGACCCAGCGATCACGCGCTACTGCACTTCACAGCATACAGCCACAGGACCCTCCCGGGCGAAACTGCAGACCTCAATACTTTCCGAAACCTCGAATCCACTCGAACCCTACACCGTAGACACCCCAAACCTATTGAACCCTTAAATGCTTCGGTACCTTACTAGGATGGCCCTAAAAACCCTCCGAGTAATATTCCTGAACATGATCCTCTTAAAACCCAAGCAGGGAAAAGATAGAAATGTCCCAAGGGCCTACAAGAAGGAGCCCCCCCCCCCCCCCAGTTATAAGTAGAGATATATCTTAGGTTATAAGTCCCTGAACTATAGTTAGTATAGTAAAGGGGGCCCCTCCCTTGTACCTACCTTAAGTCCACCCTAAACCCTAAACCCTAAACCACAAGCGCCACCGCAGCAAGGCCTGCCTCCAGCTGTCTCACCTCACGGAGCATCTGGAGACCGGGAGCTCACACGAGGAACTCACCAAGATTCCATACCCCTCAAAGCAGCTACTATTGCTGCAGGGGCCGTAATCAGATATTAAAAATAACAATAGTAATAACAAGTAATAATAATAGTAGTAAACATAGTGGGTTTTTTGGAGGTTATTCTAGTGTAACGATAATCATAGTAATAATAGTGGGGTTTTGGGAGGTTATTCTAGTGCAACTATGTAAGGA